AGGTTGAAGACATTGGGGCGGATGATGGATTCTTGAGATAATATATTGTTCGGATTACTGGGACAGACTCCAGGTTGAAGTTATTAGAATGGGTATATTGATGTTATGGTAATGAATTGGAAATTATTTTGTCAGGACTAAGGAATATGGTTACTGAGGTTGCGTTAGAGTTTTTTTGAAAAATTGGGAATAAGACTATTATCATAAGTGTTAAGGTCGGAGAGCGGAAAATTATGTGGAAGACAATCCAAGTTGGTACTGGACGGCAAAGGAGTAATTATGAGGTGGAAGGTATTGGTAAAGAAAAGATAAAATTAAATATAAACACAAGAATAAAATAAAAATACAACACAGCAATAAAATTAAATATAGAACAAAATGTAAATATATAAATATGATAACAAACAACAAATGGGGTAAAAGGGAATGGAATTAGGACTGGGATCTCAGATTTAATTTGGGGGAGGAAGTTTATGGTTGATGTAGGAGTTGGGGTCTTTATGCAAGTTGGGGGAGGTGGTTCAAGTTTTATTTCAGGAGTGTTATTTTTTATATAAGTTGGGGAGCAGATTGAAATTGCAGGAACTTTTCATCTAAGTTGGGGGAGGTGGTCATGAATCTTCTATTTTAGCATGCATATCTTCATTTCAGGAATATTCTGCAGCGCTGCGGACAGCGTGGAAGTTGGGGGAGGATGTGGTAATCAAAATATCTGCGCTAAGAAACTGTGAATTGTGGAATACTCAGTTTGAGTGTTTTTCAAGATCACCACCTATCAATCAAATTAACTCCAATCTTCTTAAACTCAATCAATTTCCTTTAATTATATAATCTTTAAACTCTCATTAAAACAAAACAACAACAAACTTTATAACTCTTCTGCTTCATTTTTACACTATCTTAAAGTGTTGGATTTTTATTGGATCCCATTTACTTTGTTTAAAATAATTCAATTTTGATAAAGTCACATAACTTACAATAACAAGCAAAAATAATTAAACCAAAAAATCTAGATATCTAAATACAAATCTTTCAATTATACAATCTAATGATCCTTCATCTTGTTCAGTAACTTCACCATCTTCAAGCATTTCCAACTTATCTACAGATGCACCAATGACTGATTGAAAAAATCGAAATCATACATATTAACCGAGAACCATCAATTCGAACAAAACTGGACAAAACCTCCACTTGCTGCTTGAAAAATTGTGAGTTTTGAGCAGCCAAGGTTTTGGACTTCCGACAGGCTGTTGCTCGTCTTCTCATCATCTCAATTGAATGGGAATCAATGTTTCATTCAACTGGAACTTTTCAAAAACAATGGGGTACTCCTTCATACAACATGCGATAAACACTCAAATTATCCAAATCGGCTCATAACACTTTCAGTTCCTGTCAAACAAGCAAACATGCCATTCAATGAAATCTCAATATCTCCAATTCTTCATTAGTCTGGTTAGTAAGCTATAACTTTTTTCTTTGTTTTTCTTCATAATAAGTGATCAAACGGCAACTTTTTCATCCATCACAAATGATTTTATCTTTTACTGACTTGCTCTCTTGTTTATACTAGGAAATTAGAATTGTGGTAAGCTTTTCCCTCATAACATTATACGCAATTCAACATCTTTAATATAGCTTATTCTACTGTTATGTAGACTTGGTCAAACGAAGTGGAATCATGAATTCAATAATTACACCCATGGAACATGCATTTCCAAACAATGACGTCAGTTGTTAGTTTGCCTTGAACTTCTTGAGATTTATTAAAACTCATTTGTTTTTTTCCTTTTTCAACAACTATTTACGACCACTGCTTGAAGGGTCCAGGACCAAAAATCCGCAATCAACCATTCAACCTACCTACCGCCATCGAACGCAAGACGAACGACCCAAGGGAGTTTGAAGCAGCCAAAAAAGAGAAGCCACATCTAACGCTTCAATCTCATCAATCCCCCTTACGATTGCATACCAAAAAGAATCTATACAGAGCAAATCATGATATGAACGTCATATTCTGAAACTTTGCATCAGTATTGATCGATTCACTCGATACATTTATTGTCTTTCAAGATCGAGATCAATTTTGAAGAGCTACTTGACAAATCCTCAATACTGTACCTAACTTCAATGTGTGATTCACCTGTTCAAGTTTTGAAAACTCCATTCAGGTGTTGGGTGGACTTGGCATGGTCATTTAGAATCAACTTGACTCACTTGTTTGATCTTGTAGGTTGGTCTAGCAATCCTTCCTTAGTATATTCTCACTCAAGCTTACCGTTCTGAATTCAGTCTTCTCAATCGCATCACTCCGTTGATTGCTATCTACAAGGATTCTAATACACTTCAGGGCCTCAAAAGATATGTTTGCTGTGATGTAATCACTTTTCACAGTCTGTAACTCTGTCAATCAATTTTTTTGTCTCAACAGTGGACATAGCTGAGTTACTGAGGGATTTGACTCCTTATTCAAATTCGATTCATGATTTGATCAAGCTCATGATCTGCTATATCAATATATCATCAATTGTGGTACATCTTGTGAACTTTGTAACGTAAGTCAGAATGAATCATATCAAAGTTGTAGTCAAAACATGACATCTGCTGATATGTCGTTTTAGGCTCGATTATCATGCTTATTCAAGTCTACAAACAATGTTGCAAATCAAGTCCAGAAGAAGAACGAGGGGATCCATCACTTTTTGCATCAAGAACGGTGGCCTTGAGCACATCAGGACGATCTCCAAGCCATCAAACATACAACAACAATCAATCGAAGCTCATCTTTTGATTTTGACTCGAATCATCATAACACTAAATTGGAGCCCCTTTACTTGCTCTGCTTCTTCAATCTTTGAGTTGAGGCAGATGGGCGATCAAGAAAGCCATCCCATTTACAAGAATGTATCAATATGATAATCTATCAATGAAAAAATCCTCATTGAGCTCACAACCTGCTCCACTCACTACTTCACGTGACACCAGCTACAGATGAAGTTTTGCTTATTCAGCTTTCTTAAGCCATGCGAATGGAGAGACCCTCCTGATTACTACCTCTTATTCACCTGTAGCACCTGTATGAAGCGACTTAACAACCGACCATAAAGTGTACGTTATGGTCGGCTGTCAAGCCGAGGCTTTGCAGCAGACCACTCCAGATGATCTGGATCACTATTCACCCACACTATAAGTCCTTCTGAAACCTTTCCAAAGGTTTTTTTTCGACTTTTACACACTAAATAGACCATTTCCTTCAATTTCTGCGGAAAAAAAATCTGGATCCGGATATATATTTTGAGCCAAGTCCCCAGATCACACAGAGTGCTCTGGCTCTGGTCCAGAGCAACTCAAATTGATCTGGCTCTGGTCCAGAGCAACTCGAATTGATCTGGCTCCGGTCCAGAGCCACTCGAATTGATCTGGCTCCGGTCCAGATCAATCCACGTTGGTCTGGCTCCGATCCAGATCAGGTCAAGTTGATCTGAGAGCTTCGCTCAGATCAATTTGGGACTTTGCTCAGCTGACCTCGATCAGACCGCGAGTACCTCAGGAGTCAGAACCCTCTGGAAGCCATCGAGTCTTTTGGAGGGTCTTGATATAACACATATGTAATAATCAACAAAACAAATATGTAACAAGTATTCAACACCACTGCTGAGTACCAAGCATCAAAAACAATCAAACATAAACCATCGTTCACGCCACAATGCAATCCCATCAAATTACAACTCAATCGAACCATTCACAGTCCACCTTCAACACCTTCCAAGCCAACCACCACATCAACCTAAGGTCCGAGTTCATCTTGCTCATCCCCTTCTTCAGCGCCGTCTCTTCTCACATCCTCATTATCTGCCAAGCCAACGATCTCATTAACCTCGTCTATGATTTCATTCCCCTCATCCTCGTCATTGGTCTCGTCTCTATCATCATCATCCTCAAGATTTAGAAACATTTCGGCCTCTTCGTCCTCGTCGAGTGGAACCGCCTCAACGATATCTGCTTCTGCACCTGCTGCCCAGGCCACTTTGCTCATCACTGCTAGCTCGGACCATCGCATACCCAATTCATTCTCTTCTTGATCAGTAAGCTGACAATATGTTTTTGTACATGACAAAAGATCCCGCATTTCACAGTTCCAGCAAATCATTAACCGTGCATGGTCTTGTTTGATCCGTGAATACAGAGCCTGAAGAACTTTCTTACTCTTCTTCAATCGCGCAGTCGGGATTCTCAGTTTAGAACAAACAACATCCACAATCCATTTATTTGTCTCGCTTTCCGGATTATCATCTGTAGTGGGGGCCACAACAAAAGGTCAGTATCTGTTTTTAACATATCTCAAGTCATATGTACCTATCAATTCAACAGCTGTCTTGAGAGCTGACAACTTCTCTTGCATTTTGAATGCCCAATTGATTGCATGCCTACACTCTCGACTGATTCGATGTAGTTCATCACTTGCATGGGTCTTATCCAGGTAAGCACGAATTCCCTCCTGTGTATCTTTATCAACGGCCCATGGTTGATCTGGATGAGTTAGCTGACCAATGTCCCAAAAACCATCCTGTAGGGATAGTCGTTTCATCTCCTCAAATGGTGGGCACAGGATAGGATTGTCCGGGAAATCGTTGTTAAACTTAGTGACATTCCGTTCAAACAAGTTGTATTTAGCTTTCAAAACCGATTGTTTATCTCGGAGAGTTTTCTTTGTGTGTTGTTGCATACGAGTGCCTTCATATATAATGACAAATCAAAAATAATTAGTGAGCTGGGTAAGTTAGAATCCAGCGCGAAATGAACAAACCTTCCCTTTCATCGTTCCTACGTTGCATCTCAAACACATCAACGCGAGCACCATAAAGCTTCGATTTTGACACCCGGATTTGAATCAGCAATTTACCCTTTGGTGCTGCAAGAGGAGTACACATGGTTATCATGTGTGTATAGATCTTAATTGTACAAATGAGACACTTGCTTGCTCGACCAGGCATGTCCCGATAGTGATCACCACCCAGTTGCTCCACAAGCCCATCTATCTCTTCTTCAAGCAGCTGCATGGTCTCTGGTAGAAGGATCAATTTTCGACGTTCTGAAGCTGATCGAATTTGCTTAGCCTGTACAGCTTGAAGCTCTGCTCTAGATCAACACCATATCAGCACATCAAACAAGCCAGTTTTTGACATCATAACATCACTCAACTCTGCCTCTGCATGACGCTCTTCCAGCCGACCTAGTTTAGTCAGCTTTGAAGTCAGAGATTGTGAATTTTCATTCACAATAGCCTGAAGCTGGCATTCCCGCTGCTGAGCCCACTGCGCTTTCAGATAATCTTCAGTACAAATCGGATTCCGTGCTCTCAAAAAACGAAGCTTTCCCACGCTCTCATGGAACACTTTTCGACTTGAGGACAGCCGTTTCTTCAACCATTGTACTACATACAGTCAAATATTGCATTTATAAAGTTTTCAAGCAAGAGATCAAAATCATACGCCTCTCACATACTTGATTGAGACCTCTTCACCTGGTTTGTATGCTGTGCACGCAGATTCAGAGCACAGAGTCTGTGAGCTTTGGTGGAGTATCTTAGAGCTCCAACCAAAGCGGCGAGGCTGGACCAGATCCTCTCCAGCCCCTCCCCGTCAGACAAACCCCAGTCCTCGTTGAGTCGTGGGTTGTACTTCAGCTGACAAGCCCACTGGTGGATGTGAGAGTGGAATACACTCGTCCCAAACTTAAGACGACCGGCTGCTCTTTCATCTTGAAAGAAGTTCCTCTGGTTCAGTCGCCAAATAAAAAGATACAGTTATACAGTAATGAATCAATAATTGTAAGAGATTCCATGAATGTTGTTTGGAAATGAAAAGTGAATACAATATACCTTTATGATGCTTTTCTCCATATTGCATCCGATGTCGTACAATATTCCAAATCGAGGAGCGTCGACATCTCCATTGACTGTCATCCTGAGGATCCAATCCAGCATGGCAAGCGGATAATACCCTCTATGTAACATCTGTAAGTCGCGTTGTTTCAAAGCAGAAAAAGGGAGGGGAATCATTAAACTCACCGTTCGCCAGTTTGCACTAAATTGATGAATTTAAGCAAATGGTCATGGCGACAAGCCATTCCCATTAATCCGGTTTCATCACAGCCACGCCACGTCTGGCGACCTCTTGTATCATTCGCAGCAGTGTGTTGAGCACTGCAAGGATCCTAGTACATTAGTTTTAAAGATCGACTATGTTAGTATTTATTGAAGAGAAGACCATAAGTTGAGAGGTTGAGAAACGTGTATGTACTCACAATCACCTCCTCCACAGCGCGGCGGCCACGTCGATTTGGAACCGTCTCAAGCCTATCCTTCCAAATCTTCACCTCTGCTGGTGGGATGAAGAGGGAAGGCAATATGCCAGTTTCACCTCTCCACGCGGCACTTGCCGCTAGGTGTCGTCTTTGCTGGAAGTTTGCATCCAAACATATAACTAAATCTGGCTCAGTCTCCCTAATGCCCGGAATCTTGGGACCAAAACACGACGGACAGTTGTCAGCAAGCTGTTCTAGACTGGATAACTTCAATGCTCGAGTGGTCATCTCTTCTTCTAATCGGATCATTTCTCGGTAAACGTCAACGGTTTCGGAAAAACATTTCCTTAGATCGCGAGGCTATCCAGATGGAGGTGATCAGCTCTTAGATATGTAGTATGTATGTATAATTTTGTAAGCTTACCTGATCACTACCACTAACCAAAAACATCACGTTATGTGCATCTAGGTATTCATCGAGGCATTCCACAAAAGGAGACAGTCGTACGCTGGAAAATTTCCACAGTATATGGTGGAATCGTAGCAATCGTATGGAAACTGCCGTCCTTGGGAGAGTAGGGGAGGATCCAATGTAGCCCATGTTGATTAATCGTACCAAATCCGAAGTACACTTGCAAGACTTGATTGTTAGCTTGGATCGGCCTATGAAATAAAGCATAAGTACTCCACAGATTTGGTTAAGAAGTAAAACAGAGCCATCAAATTGTTGCTCACCGATGATATCGATCGTATCAATCACAACCTCGTGTATCTTCCAATTTGCACATTTACATTCATCGTTCCAGTCGTGATTCCATAATTGAGGGTTTCCCCATTGGAATGTCATCTGACTACAAGGTAAGAATTCATCAAATAACTTGGGGATAACAGCATTCCATTTGGCTTCTGCACGAAGCGTGCGCTCCTGGTAGGTGACGCTTCGAAAGTATTCAGATCGGTTCATTGGAACAACGTTTGCCGGATCATTTCCTTCATTTTCTAAGTTGTCACCTGTTATGAGTTCGTCGTACTGTTCATCGTGGTCTACTTCGTCTTCTTGAATCGCATTGCTGGGACCGGCTGTGTTACTATTGGGTACAGGATCGTCAGAAAGTGCATTTTTGGATGCTTGAGCCTCGCGATCGATCAAAGTTGCTAATCGCGCCCTAGCAGAACCGGGTGGTCCAGTGTCAGCCTTCTTCTGACGCTTGATTTTGGGTCGAATCTCTTTGCCAGGAAGGGCCATGATGATGGCTTGGAGCACAGTTGAACGAAGTAGTTTATGACAGGAAGTGTCATGATTCTCAATCAGTCCTTTCATATGTGCATGGTATATCTGCTCCTACATAATCTGATTATCGTAATCGATACTCCCCATTTGAGACTAATTGGAAGATTAAGCTGTGTAAGCGAAGTGATTGGTGCTTAATTTGAGAAAGGGGTTGGGGATCACCCTTAGATTCCAGGCCTTCCTATCCTGTTTTGATGCCAAAAGTGAAGTAATTACTTCAGCTATTCAGCATTATCCAAATGGCCTCTATAGCTAATCGTCATGATATTGATAATCTTTGTGGATATTTGAGATCGGTGAAATATTTGGTTTATATAATTCAAATCATCTGTTGAAGCCCATAGTTTCTTGACTACCTCTTCCTCGAGGACTTATTTGGAGAGACATTGCTTCAATAAAAGTAACATCTTGAGAAACAAAATGCACAGGTTAGATGAGTTTCCGGATGGTACAGCATGAATCTATAACTGAATCAATATGCTTACTGAAGTGTGATTGAGGAGTCGAGCTGCAAATATGAAAGGGTAGGGGTCACCATCTTGGAGATATCACTCTAATGAAAATTTTTTGTTTCTCAACTTAATGACACCGTTGAAAATGTTTAATAATGTTGCAGAATGACTCTACATTCTTGGTGACTTTATTGACATATCTTTCATTCTCAATGATATTTGAGTACCAATTATCAGCTTATGGGGGTTACTCTTTGAGACACGGTGCTCAAATAAAACTTCTTCAATTTTCAAGTAGCAGTAAAAATTGAACTTGTTTCATGATGGGGAATGTTGAATCTATCAAATATTCAACTTTCTTTGTTTTACTTTTTTTTAGTGGCATTTGCCCTGTTTTGGTGCATTTACCAAGTGTCATTCAGTATTTGAGAGTGAGAAGGTCATATACTACATCAAATGACAACCAGTTCTTTCTCCAAAAACAAAACCAATAATAGAGTCATGCTATCCCATCATGGAACAAGTTTAATTTTTGTTCCAACTTGAAAATTGCAGAAGTTTTATTTGAGCAGTGTGTCAAAAACTACAACCCCCTCATGTGAGATCAACTGCTGAAATACCAATGAGATTGTGATGAGAATACATGATATATCATGAAAGTCATCAATATTATATAGGAATTTGGTCAGATTTTGGAAATGTTTTAACCAATGCCCCAAGTTGAGAATTGAAAAACTTTCATTGGAGCAATGTGTTTCCAAATGTAACTCCTACCCTTTGATATTGCGCTTCAACTTGTCAAATCAAATAGAATACTTATCATCTAGAACTTCTCCTCAATTATTGGCCCTTTCTGGTCCATTTTGAATCTTCGTCAACTGTTACTTTAAGTTGATATTGGATTTTCTTCATTGGAGAAATGTGTCTCAAAATACTGCCCCTAGTCTTCAAGATTTTCAGCTTGACTCCTCAATTACACTCAATGATAATTCTTATGGTGTGAATCTTGTCATTCAATTAATGAGCCATTCTTGACCATTAGGAAAGTTATTCAACTTTTACTCCAAGATGAGAATCAAAATACTATTATTGAAGCTTTGCGTCTTGCAATGTGACCCTTACACCTCCAGATTTGCTGCTTTAATGACACTACAATCAATCAAGATGTTTGTCTCGTTAAACTTGTGAATGTTCTATGGAGGTTTTTCACCTCATCATCATGCTTTAAAAATAAAACTGGTTAATGAGTTATGATTGTGATCACACCAAAGATGTGAAAAGTCGTAAAACTAACAAGGTGGACAGTCACCTACTACAGATTGAATACAAGTATGCTACTAACCATTTTCAAAATTGTAAAATACCCTTAAAGCGCCATAGAATTGCATAGAAGTATGCTACTAACCAGTTCTCATTCATACGTCCTCCACCCCCAGGGTCCAGACTTGGCCAAACTGTACTGTGAAACACCTGAATGCTTCATCATTTAATTGTCTTCAAAACTTTTGAATCACTTTTACTACTTACTACTTCAACACATTGACTGGATCTGCCGACTCGCACGTTCAAACCTGGACTTGTTCAGTTCAACACCCTCTCCTTGTCAATCTTACACTCTGATCCCTCCCTCATCGTCTATCTCCATCTCGCTCGATATCAATCATCAGAAATTTATACCGTCAATACTCAATACTTCCATCTTTTGTGTTCTCGTCTCAATCCGATTTTGTGCTTCAATTCGACATCAATCATCATCCTCAATTCAATACAATCCTCTTCTAATCAATACTGTCCACTCTGTTTTGATATTCTTTACAATGGTCACCAACACACGCGGCAACAGCCGCACCACTAGGGCCTCACAGTCCAAGACCACCACGAGTCAACCGCACTCCAACGCCACAAACCGGAAAGCCACAACAAGCAAAAAAAACAAGAAGACACAGAATGTGTCTACAGACAACGACGAAGACTCAGACTTTCTTCAAGATCTTGACTTACACGATAACGATGATACAAATGAATCAGACAATTCAGCTCCTGTCAATAAAACCACCACCTCAAATGCTAATCGAGTCAATGCGAGAAAGAAAGTTCAAAGAAAGACAGGAAATGAACAATCATCTAACTCTAACAATTCTCAAACGCTCAACGTTAACAATGGAGTTAGCAACAAAAATGATACTACAAACCCAACACCTGTATTCCGCTCTCGCTTCCCTGGTTTAGAGATGGATACTTTTGAAGAATCTCTTGATGATTGGACGGTCGTGGCTCTCCGACAAAACATTGCTAAGCAGGGCTCTACTTTAAGCCGTCCTGCACCCGAGATCGATGCTTTAGTCAAAACCATCAGATTGCAATACGAGAAGCGCATGCTGATGGCTGCACTGATGGGAGGTCTTCCTGAAGTGGTTGTCTGGAGCATTGTGTGAGTTTGATTTGGATTTCTTGTCTCAAAGTATGATGGAATTACTAACTAATGAATTGATCTTTTTGTTCCAATTGTGGCATAGAGGTGAAGGAGGTAGAAAAGGATACTCAAATTGTTGGATCCGCTTCCTAGGTTTCTGTAAGCTTGCCCTGGATGAACAGTGTAAGTCTATCTTTCACTTCTAGTACACTCGATCCCTTAGTCATACATTTTTGTTACAGTACCTCCACGAGCCAATAAGGAAGCTTGGGCCACTCGAAACACGAAGGTTTCCAACATATGGAAGAAGTTCAGTGACAACGAGAAGATGGTCTTTCGAGACCCGTTTTTTTTTGCTTTAGGTAATCTTCCTGATTTGACTTACATCGAACCGGAAGATGTCTCCGGCGAAGACAAAGAACAAGTTCTCAGCATGCATCACCTTGAAGCCGAGTCATCACCCCCAAAGGTTCTTCAGCTTAGCGAGGCCGATCGATTGAAATATCAGCCCATCTTCGACAGGCTTGTGGATGTCAAAAAATTGCATACGTGTCACGGCCAGCCGGAACCGACGTCGTCTGTAGCTACACTTCAGAAAAGGTCGCTAACTGAGCTAAAGAAAGCTCATCATGACGTGAGTTAATTCCTGCTGACTCCTACACATCTGCTTTACACTAATATCTCAACACACAGTTCTCGGTTGTTTGTCAACGCTATCAAATCACTTATTACCTCACTGCAGTCGGCTGCGGAAGCTTTGAGGGCTGGAGACAGGTCTATTCAAATAATGTACCGTTTGCTGATTGGGCTGCAAAAATCGCAAAAGTCCCAAGTAAGTTTGCGACTTATATTCATGGGAAGACTGTCAGCAAGGAAATCGAAGGAGCAAAGTTTCAGCAACCTAGCGATGAGCGAAAGACGAGGCTGACACGCGAGTTAAATTCATTAGTTGGTAAGTCTCACACCTAATTCATACTCCCTCCTATTCAATTCTTGATTGATCTTCAACTTATCTCTGACTTTCTCATTTTCAATGCAGATGCTGTCTATAGAGGGAATATCTTCCCAAAAGTGCCAGACCCCGAAGGCGAATTAGAGCTGAGGGGGTGGCCTATTCGCATCATCCAGAAGGAAGGCAGTCTTTTGTCAAAAGATGCGCTCAAGGCGGGACATCGAAAGGCCAAGGACTCGACTCGACAGTTGTGGCTGAAAGACATTGAAAACAAGAACTTTGTGATCGAACGGAAACCAGAAGAAGCGGTCGAGAAAACATCAAAAAAAAAGAAGAAATCAAAAAACCCCGCTAGCCCTTCTCGTGACAGCTCGTGTGAAGAAGAAGAACAACTTACTCAATCACAAGCTCCCAACGAATCTCAAAGAAACGCTTGAGGCAGCAATGATCAGGGCTCAAGCGATGATGAACAGTCAAGATCACCACACCAAATCCAAGATTCTACCAGGTCTCAGCTGGCCGAAGAGGAGAGACAACAACCTCGTCCTCGCTCAAAGAGAACAATTCCTGATGATTCCTCAGAAGCTGAATCTGATGTGCAGCGTTTGAATGAACGACACAAACGTAGGCCTCACATCACCAATCAAGTATCCAAAAACGGACGTGAGACTGCTGAAAACCCAAATGATGATGGTTTGGATGGTTCACCAATGGAGGATGGTCAGTACTCCTTCTTTTTGCCATATGATACCTACCCTTCTCATCTTTTTCATGGCTCTTTTCTTTTCTCAATTTTTGATATTTTAGATGATTAGATCGGAGTTTTGGTCGCACATTCCCATTGTGCTATGGAAATCAAGGAGGTTCAATTGTTTTTTGACTGCCATTGCTGTTTTTTCCCTCTCGGGTTTCTCGTCACTCTTTGTTACATTACATTCTGAACTCGATTTTGTTTCTCACCCTCACTCTTTAATATCACTTCGATTTGTCTGATTTTGAATTGTCGCATATCTGTTTTCTCACTCTTTCACAGTTTGTCACGCTCTGAACTCGAATCTCGATGTGTTTATATCACTCACTTTATTCCATTCTCCTCACTCTTTTACAGTTTGTTTTAGTTCTTCTTGCTATATTTCATTTCTTACCACTTTTTACTTATGTTCTGATTCAAGTTTCTTTTGTATTATATTTCTTTTCTCGTCACTCTTTCACTGTCTCTTATGAAATGAATTGTTTTCTCATGAATTCAACGATCTGATCGAATGAATTTAATCAGTTGATTTGTCAATTCAATCCTATTGAATTGTTGAATCAGTGGTTCAGTAATTGTATTGAGTTTATAATTAACTGACATTCAACTATGATCTGTTTAGATATGTATGTATGTATATTTGAGTGAATTGAGAGAGACACACACACTGAAAACTCTTTGGCGACTTCTGTTTGTACATACATAATCTATTGCACCCAAGACGTCAAAGGACCACAAAGGAAGGACTGTTGTTCTTGAAAAACTCGGACAAGGTTTTCGAGAACAACGGTAGTTTGAATTCTCAGTGTGGAGGCAATTGAACTTTGAATCATGAGGAAAGTCACATGAGTTTGAATTTGATAAGTGTCTTGAATTTGGTGATGAGCTGTGAGGTGAGTGAGGTGGGTACTTTTCAAATGCAGCACTCGTGAGTTGGTTTGTCTTGAAGGTCGGTTGATTGTGTGATTTTGATCTTTTGGACCGGCTAAACTACAGTTGATTATGAGCCGGTTGTAAGTATCATGGAATGAGGTGAGGAGACTTTGAGAAGGGAGACATATCAGAGGCTTACTCGGGACCCGAGTTCAGCTGAGCAAAGTCCCAAATTGATCTGAGCGAAGCTCTCAGATCAACTTGACCTGATCTGGATCGGAGCCAGACCAACGTGGATTGATCTGGACCGGAGCCAGATCAATTCGAGCTGCTCTGGACCGGAGCCAGATCAATTCGAGCTGCTCTGGACCGGAGCCAGATCAATTCGAGTTGCTCTGGACCAGAGCCAGAGCACTCTGTGTGATCTGGGGACTTGGCTCTAAATATATATCCGGATCCAGATTTTTTTTCGCAGAAATTGAAGGAAATGGTCTATTTAGTGTGTAAAAGTCGAAAAAAAACCTTTGGAAAGGTTTCAGAAGGACTTATAGTGTGGGTGAATAGTGATCCAGATCATCTGGAGTGGTCTGCTGCAAAGCATCGGCTTGACAGCCAACCATAACGTACACTTTATGGTCGGTTGTTAAGTCGCTTTATACAGGTGCTACAGGTGGCTATGATGCACAAGACCTTCAAGGTATGACTTGGCACCATCAATTTGGGTGGTGATGTATTGTAGTAGGCGGATCACTGAATCTTCCTGATTAGCCAGCTGTTCAGATTCAGCAGTTTCCCATCTTTGATACTGGTGTTTAGTCCTGAATATAGACTCAATTACATGTTTGATACTATCCATGTTTATACTCTTTTCCTTGAGAAAGATTTTCATTGGAATTTCAAAAGGCCCAAGATCCTTACTTGCCTGATATATGAGATTTGGTAGTTCTTTGTAGTCATATGTCTTCTTGAAGCACTCATTTTGTGATTTTTTAAACCTTACAAAATCTCTGACTGCAGGATAGATTTTTCCATATTTATGGAGTATTATGTAAGCTAGTTCTTTGTCCCATGGTGTTGTATCTTGTTCTTCTAAATGTTGTGAACATCTTGACAAAAGTGGTTGCAATATTTCTTCTTGCATTGGACAGCGTTCCTGAAGTAGAATATCATGAGTCTCAACCATGAAGTTCGATGATTTTGAGGCTTCATCTGTCTTGAATTGCGTTGTGATCCATTTTATGATTTTAAACTTTGAGAGTGCCTCTGACAGGGCTTTTGAATCAAACACATGTGTCATTATTTGAAAAAAAAAAAACAGAAAATAATCAAGAGAGAAGAATCTTACACAAATCAATATCCAAAAGTTTGGGGCCTTCTTTTGAGTTCCATAACTCCTGACTGGCTCCAACAAGATTTAATCCTATTTCAGAAAGTAAAATTGTCAGTCATCCATACAAATCTTTCTATATCTCAACAGTATCAAGTTATTAAATTAATTCATACCCTTTGTCAGATGAAGCTGGAGGGCAGCATTCCTTATGGGTCCCTTGTTCATGTCTGTTTCTATTGGCTTCAAATCACCCTTAGGTAGATATTCTTGGAGATGTGTCAACACAGCAAGTACCCATATTCTTTCTTTTGATTGCAAGTGGTAATTCTCAAGTATGTCTACTGCAATGTTAATTGTTTTTTCTACCTGTTTACCCTTCAAGAATGCATTTGAGCTAAGTTTTTCTTGAAGAGATGGGAATGAGAGTCTCAAGGTTGATGCCAATTCATCCAAGTTCATGTCTAGGAACCACCATGTTGGGATCTTCTTTTTCACATTGAGAAGCCTCTTAAAGCTATTAATATCAGAAACTGGATGAGAATTTTCAGTTGATATCAAACTTATAGATTCTAAATTGGATGACAAGGTTGCACCAGGTTTAAGCTTAAAGGGTTGATAAAGTTGGACTTCAATATCCTCTGGATAACTTCTTGGTATTGAATCCAATTTACATCGCAGTGTATATGGGCATTTGATTGAGGAAGAAAGTTTTGAAATTATGAAGAGACAGAAGACAAATGATCTCATAATTCTCAAAGCCAAATTTTGTTAGTTTTGGTGTTAATGAAGGAGTAAGAAGGAGAACTGGTTTGTCTGCAGAGACTTGTTATCCTCCCAGATTGAAACAGCACAAAATTACTGCCAAATGGTATGGATACAAGTCTCCCAGTGGGATGCATTGAATGCTGTACAATGAAACCCAATTTTTTGACTTCAGAATATCTTTATTTGAATCATGTTTTAAGACATGAATCACCTTGTACAGTTGATACGTTAGATAAAGCTACTCACAGCATCAGCAGAAGAACTCGTACTTTCCAGGCTTGCAAACAGACCCCCAATAGAGGACCTGCAACACAGGGGGTTTAAAAAATGTATGTGCACAGTGGAGCACACAAATTTGAAAAAACACCTCACTTGAGGTTTATCAAAATGCTTGTGCTCTAGAGAAGCTTTGTTGCAAATTAAAACCAAATTCATTGCTTTTGCTTTAGTGTTGTATATTGTGTTGTATTTGGAATATTGAGAGTACTGATTGTCCACCTAAATGTGGGACTCTTGAGAAAATTCTGAAGATTGTTCACATCCCACCTTGGATTATCTCAATGAATACTACAGGTTTTCTTGGTGTTTTGACTTTCCAGACTGTCAAGAGCTTGCAGAATGAATGATATTCTGTTGATGCTCGCAATAGCTTGTCCACTATTATAAATCAGAGTGTGCGTACCACTGGGAAGGGTGTTTGCTTGATGCTTCCCCAAAATCACAAACACCATTGGCCACAGGGTAATTGCACTTGCTGCTTGAATTGATGATGTAAGCTCATACTTGCAGGCCCCTGTCTGAAATTATAATCAAGGTAGTTAGGGGTCATCAATGAATCAAATGATCATCACTGAGATGAATGATTGAAAGGATGTTAACTTGAGGTGGTAGCACTACAGATGGACAAAGATAAATTGGAAGGAATTGAGATTGGAGCAGGCATTGATTGTCCGGCTCTCATTGGAACCTTGAAGGGGTTTTCAACTGAAGCTGTTTCTTATTGTCTTATTTTAAAGGGCCACCTGTGGCACCTGCCCCGAGAGACATGTAAGTCGAACATACAGTGCACGATTCCATCGACTGGAAGCCGGAGCTGCTCAGCAGAGCACCCCAGATGCTCTGGAACAGCACTTTATAGCACCTCAAGTCCACATAAACAAAAAAAATTCAATGTTTTTTTGCTCAACATATTCAAAACATACATGTCTTCCTCTTACAGCAAGGTTCCTTTTTTTCCAACTAACCAAAAAAAATCGACAAGTCCTCAGAGCGCTCTGAGACACATCAGAGCGCTCGGATACCCTGTATGAGCGCTCTGAATGTCCACAGAGCGCTCTGGGGACATATCAGTCAAAAATTCACAAGTCCCCAGAGCGCTCTGAAAGATCACAGCGCGCTCTGGCATGGTCTACTCCGCTGGTGGTGTACCCTTTCAATTGTCGCACTTTCTCATATGAACAAAATACATTTAAAGTGTTCACAACGTACATTTCAAGAGATTCACTCCGACATAAGTCACTCTGTCAAAAGATCCTCAAACAATCCTTCTAAGGATCGAAGGTAAGTCTCATCATCTATGTACGAACAAAGCAGCTAGCGAATTAATCTTCATTTCTGAACCAACCACATAGACATGTGGATCACCATCGACTTCAACTTGATACAACACCAGTGGCACTCAATCTACTTCATCTACACCATCACCATCAGCCTCGATATCATCAAAGTCCACTTTGTTCAACTGGCCAATACCATTTTCATCATCATTCTCATTCTCGTTAATCTCCAGAAGGCCAAAGTTATGCTCAATCACTTCAGCTTCATCCAGAGGATTCGATTCTATGATATCAAAATCAGTTGCTGACTTCCACGTCAGCTTGCTTTCTCTCGCCAAAGCCAACCATCGCATCTTCATCAAATCCTCCTCCTGCTCAGACAGCTGACTGTAACTCCTTGTTTTATTAATCAACTCGATCATTTTGATGTTCCAGAACATGCATAATCGGGCATGATCTCGGCTTACATGTGTGTAAACAGCCTTTAAGACATTCTTACTAATACTTAACCGGTCTGTTGGAGATGCTACATTACTAATATTTAACCGGTCTGTCGCAGATGCTACATTTGTAAATACTAGACTGACCAACCATTTGTTTGCAACAGTCTCGGTGTCGCCGTCTATAATCAAATAAACAAAGCTGAGTATCAATCACAATCATTCCACGTATGCATTCATAGAAATCATAGCTGACCTTCAAGTTCTAGGGACGTTGAGAAGACCAATAGTTTCTCTTGTCTGTCCAGGGCCCACTTCACTTCTTGCCTACACTCTCGACCAACTCGGCGTACTTCATCCTCAGAATGGCTTGCCGCCAGGTAAGCTTGTATTCCGTCTTGAGTGTCGCGGTCCACCGCCCAAGCTTCGTCTGGGTGTGTCAGCTGACCTATGTCCCAGAAATGATCGGCCAGTGACATCCTGAGGATCTCCTCGAGGGACGGGCACTCAATTGGATTGGGGGATTGGTATTCGTTATTGAACTTCTCAACATTACCGCAAAACACATTGTATTTATCTTTCAAAGCCCGTTGTTTGTCTCGAAGATGTTTTTTAGATCTTTGTTGCATGCGAGTACCTATCAAATTTATGTTAGACTTTCACACTATCAGGTTACATTCCATGACAGCAATGAAAATATTTACCTTCTCTTTCATCGTTCTTCTTCTGACTCTCAAATACGTCCACTTTGGCTCCATAAAGTTTGGACTTTGAAACTCTTATCCGGATAAGAAGTCGACCCTTTGATGCTGAAAATCAATTGTAAGCACAAGTATAATAGCTACAATTGAGCTCAATTTGGCGCACTTGAAGCACTGGGCATATCGCGGTAGTGATCACTCCCCAGCTCCTTGACCAATTCATCAATCTGATCATCAAGGATCAGAATTGACTCGGGCAGATGAGCAATTTTGCGTTTTTCAGAGGCCGTACGAAGATTCCTGCGTTTAGCTTTGAGACTTTTCAATTCCTCTCTAAAGCCAAAGTGGAAAGGTAAGTTTGCATAAGGTGCTACATGAAAAAGATACTAACTCGGCGTCTCGATGCTTCTCTTCCAGCTCGATCAGGCGATTGATCTTTTGATTCAACACCTGCGAGTTTTCAGTGACCATACTACGAAGTTGCAAATATCTCTGCCTATTCCATTGCCCTTTTAGGTACTCCCGTGTATACATAGGATCTTTTTGTTGCAGTGCGTTTAACTTTTGAACACTCTCCTCATTCATTTTTTTGCTTGATAAAAATCGCGCAATCAACCACTTTACTGATCAATCAAAGAGCATACTATAAGTAAATTAAGTATTACCCAAATGGTATTGTATTTAAAAACATAACACACCAGATACTTTTCGTTTACCTTCATTGGTGTGACGTGTTCGCAAAGCCAAAGCACAAAGCCTGTGGGCCTTTGTCGAATATCGCAGGGCTCCAACCAATGAGGCCAGGCTAGCCCATATGCGCTCTAGCCCTTCTCCATCTGAAAGCCCCCAGTCATCATTGAACCTGGGATTGTATGTCAGTTGGCATGCCCATTGATGGACATACGAATGAAACACACTAGTACCAAACTTCAATCTTTCAGCTCTTCTTTCTTCGGAAAACAGTTCGCGCTGGTAACCCAAAGAGATGGAACCAACAGTCAGTTTATTATTCATTTTAGACCAGCCCAACTGACCTTAATGATACCTTTCTCCATGCTACATCCTATATTGTATAGGACTCCAAATCGGGGTACATGGCCATTAGTAGTAGTAGTTTGCAAGATCCAGTCGAGCATTGCCAAAGGATAATACCCGCTATTTGAATGAAATCAATGATAAGTTGTTCATCATATGTACATCATCTAGAGATAATCCCACCGTTCTCCAGATTGTATGATGTTGATAAATTTGAGTAGCACATCGTGACGACATGCCATGCCCATCAACCCCGTTTCATCACAGCCTCGCCATGTCTGACCCCCTCGAGCGTCATTTGCAGCTGTATGTTGGGCACTGCAGGGGTCCTGTTTTGTGCCGTTGCATCAAACAATCAGTATATAAGGTATGATTCGAAGTGATTGATAGAAACCTCTCACCACCACCTCATCTACAATTGTGCCTTTTTTACTTCGCTTGTTTGTAGGTTCCATCTTCGTTTTCCATGACAAAACTTGGTTTGGAGAGAGGAACACAGCCGGTAATACCCCGGTGTCACCTCGCCAAGCAGCGCTTGCTCCCAGGTGCCTTCGTTGTTGGAAATTGGCGTCAAGACAAATGATATGATCCGGCTCGTTCGGTCGTTTGCCAGGGACTTTCGGACCAAAACAGCTTGGACAACTCCCAGCTAACACCTCTAGAGGTGTCAATCGCAGAGCCGCTGACGCCAATTCGTCTTCCATGCGCAGCATTTCTCGGTAAGCGTCAACCGCTGCTGAAAAGCAGCGGCGCAAGTCTCGGGTCTGTATGTAACATCAAATCGGTCTATAATCAATATGAAGACCGAATAGCTATGAGAACATGGACTACCTCTTCAGAGCCAGGAACTAAGAACAAAGGGTTTCGAGGATCTAGAAATTCATCCATTGCTTCGCTGAAGGAAGCCAAACGTATACTGGAATACTTCCACAACGTATGGTGGAACCGGAGCAATCGAATGGAAAAAGCTGTTCGTGGAAGTATCGGTTTGGATCCCATGTATCCAAGTCGAACTAGTCGGACTAAGTCACTTGTGCAATGGCACACCTCTACAGAAAGCTTCCTTCGGCCTGCGAAAGATTGCTTACATGAATGAATATATGCAATATGATTAAGGAGCCATGTGGGACGAAATCAGTCTTGCCTAGAATATCAATTGTGTCCACTTCGACTTTTCTCTTTTGCCAATCCTTGCATCTGCAAGGAACGTTGAAGTCCCGATTCCACGACATCATATCACACCACTGGTAAGTTTCACGACTACAGGGCATGAAAGCGACAAAAACCTTGGGCAAGATGGCTCGCCAATGAGCCTCTTCTCTAAGTGTCCTTTCTTGATATGTGCAACTTCGATAGTACTCGGCTCGATTTTCTGGCACGTTAGTTGTTTCGTCATCACTTGAAAGGACCGGATCAGCTCCATCGGCTCTCATAACAACATCAAATATTGGCTGATTGACATCGGCAGCTGGCTCTGGTGGCTGTCTCGGAGTTGGAATGGGATTGGTCAGATTCGAGAGGGCTGCTTGGGATGCTTCGGCCTCGCGTGCTTGTACGGCTCCGAAACGACCTGCCCTTGCTGGTGGCTGGTTGTTCTTTCGCTTGGCTGGTATCTGGACGATCTCGCCGGGTAAGACCATCTTGATGATGTTTTTCAACTCGTGTATAGATTAGGTGTGACTTTGTATAGATTAGGTGTGACTTGGTATGATGAAGGACAGTTAAGGATCAGTCAAAACGTCAATTGCATGTTATCTTATAATTGTCAAAACTTGAATGGAATTCTGACAAGAGGCGACACTGTTTAAAAGGGACTAGTCTAATCTGGATTAGTCCAATCTTGCAAAAAACGGACAGATGATCTCAAAAGGGAATTACAATTTCCGTCGGATCAACATTACATTCCAGATTATAGCACCCCTGCCGTGACACAGAGTCTTCCCTTCTTGTGAAGCTTGTCAAGATCTTCATCCGTAATCATAAATGGTGCATGATGGAATGAGTGACTAAGGAGAGAATTAACTACACAATTGACAGAAATGTTATATGAGACATTGGGCTCATTTCTCAGTATTGAATGTTCAAACCACATTAATGCAAGCAATGATTTGAATAATGCTTCTCTATGCATCTTTGAAAGAAATGATGGCCATAAATTATGAGATGAATCAGGGATCCCTATATTGTTGGTATCATTTGCATCACGAAGTTGTGCAGTTGATAACTTTTACACTGATGGACACTATTGTTCACCATTGTCCTGATTACTCGCACACCTCTCATTAATTTTTCTGCAAACCAAAAACAAAGTGTTCATGAAGAATTTATTGATATGGTTAGAATTATCAGGACCCATCATCTGCTTTCACAATTTATACAACCCACTTACCTGCAAGAATCTTGAAGGTAAGTTCCGTGGTTTATCTGCTATTTTGCCCATTCATTGATGACACTAATGCTCTAACCATGTAGAGTTGTGACATGGTTAGAGCATTTGCTGAGCAAAATCAAGCCCTACCTCAATTATAAAGGAACACATGTTGTTTCTCAAAGTGGTGTACTTTATTCCAACTAGGTGTTATGAGATTAATGGTGCGCTTGGGCCAAATTATAGGTGACATGACCAAAAAAAAAAATCAAAAAATTATCAGTCTATTTCATATATTACTGCTCAAACATCATGTAACAACTTTTTTTTTTGGTTTTTCTTGAAAAATGAAAAAAAATTCCTTATGCAATGTGTGCGCAAAATCAGACACAAAAAACCTGGTTTACGTAACTGGGTGAAAATTTGGGTATGGTGTACCCTGAAGAAAGTTGAAAATTTAGAATTCCTATGTGTACTTGACATTAGACAAGTTCAACTTTTGGAATATCTGATGATTTGCAAAAGTTTTATTTGCGCAACGTACACCTGGAAGGGTGCTCAAGTTGTGTTACGGGGTGCACAAATCACATCATGGGTGAATATTTGGGTATGGTGTACCCTGAAGAAAGTTTAAAATTTAGAATGCCTATGCATACTTGACATTATACAACTTCAAATTTTGGAATACCTGATGATTTGCAGAAGTTTTATTTGCTCAACTTACACCTGTAAGGGTGCCCAAGTTGTGTTACGGGTCTCACAAATCACATCATTGGTGGTTGTTTGAGATGGGTGGTGGCTACCAGAGGGGGTTTATTTAGAAGGGCAATATTCTCTTCAAATGCTACAACTTTAACTGTTGTGACATCCCATTGTTTTCCAACCTTTCTTTCCAACACGGTCTTCCCCTAAGGCCATCCAATAGGGTCACCTAGCCCATTAATCAATGGTTTGATGGTTGTTTGGATTGTGTAATAGCTACCATATGTGGCTACCCCACACAATTGATGTTCTTCTTTCCCTGGTAGGTTAAAAAACAGCATATACCACATTTGTTGCAACACTCCAACCTTTTGAAATGGAAGAGACACCCTAATTGTAGATTGGAATATGTCATTTGATATTTCACACAATTCATCGCTGTTGTGTTGAGATTTCACATCAAATTTCAATGATTAATGACATAAACCATTGAATAGTATGTACTTAGAGAGGGTTTTTGCAAAGCAGTGACTCATCTCGATACTCCCGACATCGCAGTTTATCACCCAGTCAAAGACATCACACATCATCTCAGCTATCCGGATCACTTCCAACACAATGGTCTCCACCCGCGCCAATCGCACAACTCAAAATGATCCTTCAGCAACTCATACCGATACCGATCGTCCGGCAACTCGTACCCAATCGGCTGACAACACCAAATCTCGTTACAAATCAAAGGGATCCAAATCGAAGAAATCCAAATCAAAGAAAGCTCTTATTGACGAAACCAACAATTCAGGAGAGCTTAATTCAACTGAAGACTCTAGAGACCCACCAACTCAATCTGAAACCACGTCACAGACTGTTTTTCGATCTCGATTTCCAGGTCTAGAGCTTGACAACTTCGAAAGCCAATTAGACGATTGGACGCTGGTCTCCCTCCGTGAAGCCATTGCTAAACAAGGTTCCAAAGCTAACAGAGCTCACTTAGATATTCAAACCTTGGTAAAGGGTATACGTCTGGAGTACAAGAAGAGAATGTTGATGGCGGCCTTGATGGGTGGTGTTCCTGAAGTCGTAGTCTGGAACATAGTGTGAGTTTCTACTTATCAATTTAATGATCCGTTTTTTTACTCTGCCCGTTTTCTTCATACTTTGATTAGTGGAGAAGGGGCGAAGAAAGGCCACGCAAATCCTTGGATTCGATTCTTAGCCTTTGGTCTTCCCGCATTAAAGGAACAACGTCAGTGTACTTTTTCTTCCTCTTTATCTGAATTTTCTCTTATTCATCGCTGAATTCTTCCATTTCTATCTCTATCATTCCAAATCCTTCAATTTCTATGGCTCATAATCTCGTCTCGCTTTCTATTTTCTAAATCCCATCTCTCAAACTCTTAGTACCTGAATCGGGCGACTCCGCGGGCTGGAAAGCTCGAAACAAGAAGGTCTCAAGGCTCTGGAAAAAGCTCAAAGACGATGAGAAGGATGTCTTCCGAGACCCTTACTTCTTTGCTTTGGCCGATTTACCCAATCTTTCCAAGGTTCCTGAAGATCTTGATTCCACCGCGAATCCAGAGGATGAAGGCAACACATCTCTCCAACACCTCGACGAATCGACCGCAACTCCTTTGGTTCACAAGTTGACAGCTGAAGAAAAGGCAAAGTATCAGCCTTTGTTTGATAAGTTGGTTGACAAAGAGAAGCTTCACACGTGTCACGGTAAGCCAAGTCCCACGAGTTCTGTAGCTACAGTACAGAAAAGGTCCCTACTTGAGCTTCGAAAAGCTCATCATGCTGTAAGTCTATCCATTTGATTGCTCTCTAAAATATTTAGATGTGTACTGATATTTTCTTCGTGTGCTTTTCTACCTAAGTTTGCTGTAGTCTGCCAGCGATATCAAATCACTTATTACTTAGCTGGGGTTAGTTGTGGAAGTGCCGAGGGATGGAGGCAGGTATTTTCAAATAATACCTCTTTTGCTAACTGGGCATCGAAGGACCAAAAGATTCCAGAAACCCTAGCATCTTACATTCACGGTCAGTCTGCTGCCAAGATAGTCGAGGGGAGTGAAAGCAAACTTCAACAACCAAGTGATGAGCGTAAGACACGCCTGGGAAGAGAACTTAATAGACTACTTAGTAAGTGTTTCTTAAGTTATAATCAAGTCAAGTAAGTCTCATCATTGGTTGCTGATCTTTCTTGGGATAGATGCGGTCTATAAGGATGAAAATGTCTTTCCCAAGCTTGAAAACCCTGCAGCCGATATACTGGAGAAGGGGTGGCCGATTCGGATTGTACAGAAACCGGGTAGTCAGTTGTCAGAAGAGGCCTTGAATGTTGGTCATCGTCGAGCCAAGGGTTTGACTGTCAAGGCATGGCTGGATGATATAAAAAACGGCCTCTTTGTAATAGAACACATTCCAGATTCGGAGCTAGCAAATCGAAGCAAACAACAACAATCTAAAAAGTCAAAGAAGAAATCTCAATCTACAACCTCCCAGATTCCCTCAAATCCACAGCACCCCGATGAGCCCACCAACACCGCTAACACGAATTCTGCTGGTATTCAACCTAGTCAAGCGAATAAATCTTGCATGAAGCGTAAGCTCAAAGCCTTGGCTAAGGGGGAACCTGCGCAGAACAAGAAGAGCAAAAGACAAAAAAAAACACGCGGTGACTCTGACTCTGACAGCGACTCTAACTCGGACTCCAACTCTGGATCTGATTCAAACTCCAGCTCTGACCCCGATTCCAGCTCTGACTCCGATTCAAACTCCAGCTCCGGCTCCGACTCCAACTCGAACGCGACCTCTGACCACTCTAACGACGTTGACATGTCATGAAGGTGATCTTTACATTCCCCTGATGTGCCTCACTTTGACCATGTTTTTTCAATATTGTTCATCAATATCGTTCATCTGAGGACGAAGTTAAATCTATTTCAATCTGACTCTATGATCTACACAAATCATTTCATATCAACAATTGCTTGTATTGGCGATTTCAATCAAATTTATATTTTACCTTTCCTCAATTTATTTCGTGTGTTAAGCTGTTTAGGCAATTTCCAAAGGTCATTCATGATGATCAATCTAGTTCTTGAACTCTTTGACATCTTATATTCAATTTAGTTTTGTTGATTTTCAGCTTTCTCAGCCATTGTCTCGGGTGGACCTTTTCTTGTTTGTGAACTTGATTTTGGTGCGATATTCAAAAATCAAAAGTTGAATCTTATTCCATGCCTATCAAAATATACACACAAGTGAAAATTGAAGGGATTAATGAGGTAAAATGGTGTTCTACCATTATGTTAACTTGTTTTTATGGTAACTTTGAATTATCGTCACCCAATACAAATTCCTCAGTGTTACATTATGTGTACAAATGTTATGTTGAGTGGCATCCGTGGGTATATAAATACAAAGGCTTGATTCAAATTGAAATGAATGGTTGTTCGATCATAAAATGAGAGAGTGTGTCGACAATTCAACTGGGCTGAAGCATTTGTTCTGAACTTAACCGATTGAGTTCGAGGTTGGTTGAGAGCTTTCGAGACAAGATGATGTGAGTGCTTGTGGGAGTTTACCTCAATCAACTACTGCCCCCTACCTTCTCTAAGCTTCTCTATCGCCAGCAGAACGGTCTAATCGAAATGTTAGTGCTCTTCTTTCCATATCAATAACCGACCTGGCACCAAATACAAGTCTTAACCTTTCGATGTGATACATTGGACTGATTGAAGCGTGAGGAAATGAACAAACGCCTGTAGCCATATGAGGTATCTATAACAAAGAGGTGCATAGCAAGGACTTCATCACCTTCTTGATAGAGACCCAATGGGTCAAGATTTAATCATGCGATTGATTTTTGCATGGTTGGACTATGACTGTGCTTGGTTGTGGTCCAATACGTATGAGGCAGCCCAACAATCTAGAGCGCTCTGAGCCATACCAGAGCGCTCTGAGTCATACCAGAGCGCTCTGTGGACGTATCAGAGCGCTCTGTGGACGTATCAGAGCGCTCTGAGACATATCAGAGAAAATTGACAAGTCCCCAGAGCGCTCTGTGGACATTCAGAGCGCTCGTACAGGGTATCCGAGCGCTCTGATGTGTCTCAGAGCGCTCTGAGGACTTGTCGATTTTTTTTGGTTAGTTGGAAAAAAAGGAACCTTGCTGTAAGAGGAAGACATGTATGTTTTGAATATGTTGAGCAAAAAAACATTGAATTTTTTTTGTTTATGTGGACTTGAGGTGCTATAAAGTGCTGTTCCAGAGCATCTGGGGTGCTCTGCTGGGCAGCTCCGGCTTCCAGTCTATGGAATCGTGCACTGTATGTTTGACTTACATGTCTCTCGGGGCAGGTGCCACAGGTGTAAAGGGCAGCCTGTAGATATCTTCTACTATATACTTTTAGTATATTATCCCCTTCCAGCTCTGTGGAAAACATTGTTTTGGTTGATAAGTTCCACAAAAAAAAATATCCTGCTAACCCACTATTCACCAAAGCAGCACACTCAGCATCACAGTCAACCCACTTTTCTCCAAATAATTCCCATGTAACAAAGTCTCTCACTCACTTTATTTGTCCTGGTCTTTACCATATACCTACAGAGAGTCAGCCTTTGAAACACAAGCAACTCACTTGTTCCAAGCAGATAGGTTGTACTAGAAGTCTCAAGACTCAGGGGACTTGTATGGGCAAATGGTATAAATTATTCCCTGTGGTTTTCCACTCTACAAGCTTCAGCATTTCTAAAGTGAAGTATCATTATCTTATGAGGCAACAGAGGTCCTTCAATCTTCCATATGCCAATCTGCAAACCTCATCGAATTTGGGGTCCAGAAAGAAAATACATTCACCTTATGTCAATGCAATTTGGGGTTTATGGACACTCTGACTGGTGTCTGTTGAAAGAAAAGCTCTTCCATGACCCTAGAATTTCTACACATATATTAAAAATCCACTAACCAATTTTTGAGTCATCCCTCAAGAGAAGCCTAACTCAACTTCCTCTCGGCAAATAGGGCATGTAGGAAATTTATTGGTATTAGCCTCCAACCTCTGTTTGTTTAATTTGTGAAAGGTCCATTATGAGTAGACAATTCTGGATTTGCTTATATGTTGAAAATCTTTTAACTCACATGCCAACAATCTGTGTGAACTTTATGATCAACTTCAGAATGAAGCTTGACAAGATCATCCTCTTTGTGCATGTCTTGCTGACAGATGACACATGGTTGGCCAATTGGGATAAGTTCAGGCATCTTGAATGTATAGATGTGAGAGTCACCTATGAGCGGGATTGTCAGTAATGGTGATCCAAATTCTATGGGCATAATGTTCTTAGTGTAGTTGGGAGATTAGTGACAGCTTACTTCTATAATCCACTAGACCTTCAAGGTATGACTTGGCACCATCAATGAGGGTGGAAATGTGTTGTAGTAGGCCGATCACTGAATCTTCCTGATTAGCCAGTTGTTCAGATTCTTTAGTTTCCCATCTTTGATACTGGTGTTTGGTCCTGAATATAGACTCAATTAAATGTTTGATACTATCCATGTTCATGCTCTTTTCCATGAGGAAAACTTCCAGCGGGTTCTTGAAAGGCCCAAGATCTGTCCTTTTCAGGAAGCAATGTATGATATTTGGGAGTTCTTTGGATTCATATGCCTTCTTGAAGCAATCATTTTGTGATTTCTTAAATCTTACAAAATCTCTGACTGTTGGATAGATTTTTCCATATTTATTAAGTATCATGTAAGCAAGTTCTTTGTTCCATGGGCTTGTATCTTGTTCTTCTAAATGTTGTGAACACATTGACAAAAGATTTCTCAATGTTCCTTCCTGCAATGGACAGCTTTCCTGAAGTAGAAGATCATGAGTTTCAACCATGAATTTGGATGATTTTGAGGTTTCATCTGCCTTGAATTGGTATGTGATCCATTTTATGATTTTGAACTTTGAGAGTGCCTCTGACAGGGCTTCAGAATCAAACACATATGTCATTAGTTTGAAAACAAAAGCTAGAAAAGAATCAAGAGAGAAGAATCTTACACAAATCAATCTCCCAAATTTTGGGGCCTTTTTCTAATTTCCATAATTGCTGACTAGCTCCTATAAGATTTAATCCTATTTTATAAAATCCAATGTCAGTCATCCATAAAAATCTTCCATATCTCAAAGGCATTGAGTTGATTATTTTGTACCCTTTGTCAGATGAAGCTGGAGTGCAGCATTCCTTATGGGTCCCTGGTGCATATCTGTTTCTATTGGCTTCAAATCACCCTTAGGTAGATACTCTTGAAGATGTGTCAACACAGCAAGTACCCATATCCTTTCTTTTGATTTCAAGTGGTAATTCTCAAGTGTATAAACTGCAATGTTGATTGTGCTTTCAACCTGAGTACCTTTCATGAATGCATTAGAGCTAAGTTTTTCTTGAAGAGATGGGAATGAGATTCTCAAGTTTGATGCCAATTCATTCAAGCCCATGCTTAGAAACCACCATGTTGGGATCTGCTTATTCACACGGATAAGCCTCTTAAAGTTATTGATATCAGGAATTGGAGGAGCTTGTTCAGTTGATATCAAACTGATAGATTCTAAACTTGATGACACAGTTGCATCAGGTTTAAGATTAAATGGTTGATAAAGTTGAACTTCAATTTCCCCTGGACATCTTCTTGGTATTGAGTCCAATGAGTATCGCAGTAACAATGGGCATATAATTGTGGACAAGAATTTCAAAACGATGAATAGAAAGAAGACAAATGATCTCATGATGGTCAAGACCAAAATTTGGTAGTACTAGTGTTGGTATCAATGAAGGAGACAGAAGGAAAACTAATCTCTTTCAACAGAATTCAATCACTGGCAAATGATATAGATATGTGTCTCACAGTGGTATGCATTGAATGCAGTACATTGAAACCCAATGTTTTTTCCATTCAGATTATCTTTCTTTGAACTATGTTTCAAGACATGAATCACCTTGAACCATTCATATTTTGAATGACCCTACTCCGAGCATCATCAGCAAAATTTGTACTTTGCAGGTTTGCAAACAGACCCCCAAAAGAGAATCTCTGATGCTGGGGGTCTAAAAAATTGTATGTGCACAGTGGAGCACATAGATTTGCACTCCAGAAAAATCTGTCACAACTTGCAACTAACTGTATTGTTTATGCTTTAGTGTTGTATATTGAGAGTGTGTGTACCACTGGGAAGGGTGGTTCATTGAAGCTTCCCAAAAACCACAAATCCCATTGGCCACAGCATAAATGTGCTTGCTGTTTGATGGTCTGAAAAGAAGGCCACATGGCCAAGTTTGCTTTGACTGGTCTGGTAACCTTCAGCTATTCATTCAGTGGCCTATTGGTGGTCTTTGATTCATTGGAGGGAATGCTGTTCATGTGGAAAGACATCAAGCTTGCCCCTGCTCCCCTCCTTTACCTTGCACATATTCCTTACTCCATTACCCCTTGAGATCCAGGAAGTGATAGTGATGATGGGGCAAAGGCCACCCAGACCATGGATTGGATTCTGGGAGCTCTCCCGATGTCTGATCATGGAATAAGCATGGTCAGAACCAGATGTAAGTATTGAAGTATTTGTGAGAATGCAGAATTTGTATCACAGCGGCACATTTGACCACCATGCAAGACATCCTTTTGTCATCCTTTCAAAGGCCACAAATATGCTAATATACTACTAACCCATCCAGCCAACCAATATCTGGCTAACAGCCAAAATCTGAACTCTTTGTCTGAATTTTCACTGAGTTATGGCACAATGCTTTTTCAGCCCATCTTTTGGCTTACAGATTGCCCTGTCCTGTGGATCTTTTGATATCTTCTGACTATTGTGACTCCCAGGAGTTAGAAGACATCCAAAACTTCAGTAAAACATAGACCTCACCCTTTTACCAAGAATCACAATGAATCAAAACAACTCAGCTGATGTCTTAAAAGCACTTTTATCTTCATCCCCTCCAAAGAAGAACTTAACTTGAAATTAAGGATCTACTTAGAGCGCGTTTGTTTAAGCGATTTTTGACCAGAAATCGCATTTTACAAAGAGTAGAAATCTTAGAAGGTGAAATGTGTTTGCTTAACTATTTACAAGCATTCTGTAATGTACAGAATGCTTATAAAAATCGCTTTTTGAGTCGATTTCCAGAATTGGCTAATAGCTAATTTTTTTTCGATTTCTTCTCTTTCTACCTTTTTCTCAATTTTGGACAAGTCCACGTCCACTGTACTAAACCCGCCAAAACCCATCAAACCGCCAAAACCATACAAAATCTTTACAACAGTAGCAGTCCTGCCACTGACCACCCTTCATTTCTTCACTATCAATCACAACCTCCCTTCCCTTCCTTCTCTAACCAACCCCGTTGAACCACATCACCAATGTCTGACAGCAATTCAGAGCCTATTAGTAATGGTGAGGAAGCCACCACTGGACCATCAACATCAAAAAAAGCAACTCCGATCAATAAAAAATCAAATAAAAAAACAAAAGTAAACTCTCAAGTCAAACTGATCAAATTGAAAGAAAACAAGAAGAAAAAGAAGTTGAATGATAAGAACAAAAAGAATTTAGATGAGAAGAACAAACAACAAGAAGAAGATAAGAACAAATCCGATGATGATTCAGGAGGAGAGGTTGTTACTAGTGGCGGTGTATGGAAACATGGATGTACGGTTTGGTTGATTGATGAGTATTGTCATCAAGTTGATCTTGGACACGGAAACGATGGAGGACTCAAGAGTGCTTCATGGAAGCAAGTCCTTGAGGACTACAACAAACGGTTCAAAACCAAGGAACCATTATCACGTTTGAAAAACCATATACAGAAGGTATGTCTTTCACTCTCCTCCCTCCTCTACGCTGACTTCGTTTCAACTGACTCTCTATTCAAATCCAGCTCAAGACAACATACAAAGCTTTTGATAAGATCATGGGTTCCTCTGGTGCTCCTGGATGTGATACAACAACAGGTACCGTGAGTGCTTCAAAGGAATGGTGGGATGCTTGGATCAAAGGGGTCTGTATAATCATGGTTTCATCATATCTTTCTTTTTCTGTTTTCCCTTTTCACTCATAATCTTTTTTTCTATCTTTCTTTTGCTCAAAATCTTCTACATAATTCTAGGCTGGTAACAAAGATGCAATACCAATCAAGAACAATGCATTCCCCGCGTACCAAGCCGTCTCGCATATCATGCCCGAGAAACACTTATGAGCTAACGGTACAGAAGGGTTCGGAACCCAGAGCAAGAAAAAAAAGTGTCAATCACCAGGATCTGATGATGGCGAAGACCAAGAAAATGACAATGGTAAGTTTCTTTTATATATGACACTCCCAACAAATTCACTGAATAAGCTTTTCATTTATCAAAGATTCAATCCCATCTGAATCCGAATCTATTAAACGAATGGCTACTGAACCAATTGAAGATCAATATGTTCAAGATGATAATGAGAGCAAGGAGAGTGATTCAGAGCCGGAGCCTCCTCCAAAAAAGAATAAAGAAACGGTATGTAGTATTTATCTTGAATATTTCAACAATAAATGAATTCTGCTGACTGCTTCTATTCATTTTAAATGCAGAAAAAAACCTTCAAATTCAACAAGCACCGATTTCAAGAAGACCAAGAAGAAGAAGATACTCCAGAGTTGAAATTTGTCCGTAGCAAGAGGAGCCCAATCAACAAAGGACCTTCCATCAAGCAATCTCGCACCAGCGGTCCAAAGATCATAGCTGATTCAATTGATCGAGCAGTGGAATTAGAAGATCAAGTTGAAAGCAATAGAATTACAATAGCAAAGATGAAATTAGAGCAACATCCAAAACGTCAAGAAGTGATGGCAATATTCAACGCTGAATTCCGCAACAAACTGAAACCAGCTCACATCAACCAAGTAGCAAACAAATTGAAAGAAGATGATACCGCATCGTTTTTCTTCCATATGCACAAGGATAATCGCTGGAATTGGTTAAAAGAGGAAGCTGGGGTCTTACAAGAATATGAGTAGGATATATTTAAAAGGAGAGTATTTCAGAAACCAAATCAAGTTTGTTACATTTCATTTTTTTGTATCTTTTCTAAAACAAATGCAGTGGTACAATTTTTAAAAAGATACATACAGCCGTTTGCAGTTTTGATGAACATGCGCCCAAAGATGAGCGAATAATCAACGTGTAAATAAAACAGGTACAGCGCAAAACATTTGAAAAGTTTTGGCCGAGTGTTCATCAATTATGAATACAGCTGTAGTAATTTTAATTAGTGCTCAAACAAAATCAGCTGTACAAATTAAAAAAATGATAGCAGTTTGAGTAATGATAATTTAAATCAAATAATTTGTACAAAGTTTGAAAAACATAGTCCTTTCAATAACAATGTGAATAGCCCAATTATGTCCATGATTTAAAAGGAGAAAATTGAGCATTAAACACATCTGCGAGCAGCAGCCACATTTGTATAATTGTAGAACATCTCTTCAGCAATCTGATCTTGCATTTCATTGGCTTGCGTACGCTGAGCAGGAGTTGGTGCAGACCAGTTTGGGTCATCTTTGTCACAGGCCAGCCTGGCTTCTAATCGTTCCTTCAAAGCGTACTCTTCATAAAACTCATCCTTGCCTGATTCGATCTGTATGATATTATGTAATACACAGCATGCTATTACAATTTTAACTTGAGTTTCATATGGAAATGATGGCATGGTTGCTAGGATTGGAAAGCGCATCTTCATGATGCCAAAGATCCTTTCAATCACAATTCGAAGTGATGAGTGCCGGTGGTTGTACAGTTCTTTTGCTGTCTGTGGTGCAAGGCCAACATGATTCCACTCCTTGAGGTGGTATCGAACAGATCGGTATGGAGTGAGGAATCCAGGTGCATTTGCATAGCCAGCATCGGCGACATAGAAATGATCTGGATAGATCGAAGATATCAGCAACATGATATATCAAAGATGAAGACAAAAGTAACATACCTTCCGGAACAACAAATCGTTCCTCTTCAAGTGCTTGACAAAGCACTCGAGCATCTGTATATGAACCTTCTAATCCCGCATACACAAAGGTAAAGAGCATGTTAAAAGAGCATCCAGCCAATACGTTTTGGCTGAGATCCCCTTTTCGATTCCGATGAGCTGGCTGACGATCTGCAGGAACAATGCAAGGGATGTGGGTGCCATCAATAGCACCCACACACTTGTCGAAATATGGTGTCATCCTCGGATTTGTCCGTATTTCCTTTGGGCAGATCCCGTTGTCAATAGGTTGGACTATATATGTTGATTGAAGGGAAGTGATCGCTTCCAAGACTTCATTGAAGTATTTGGTGATTGTTTGACCTGATCGCTGGAATCTTTCACTAGTGTTTTGATTGGAGCTGGAGTTGCCAACAATATAAAGGAAGATCATGACACGTTCTTCCGGCGTAACACTTCGATTACGGTAAACAACAAGCTTGCCTTCAAGAGCTTTCATCAAGCCCTTGAAGGCAAGCTTATCCATTCAACATACTTCTCGAAACCGTATGTCGCTCCCTTCTAGTACTTCTTTTGTATATTCATTCCCTCGGAGTTTGGAGGTTCGGCATGGGATCTTGGGCCTTGTTAGAGTCTTTAGGAAGTCTGTACCAGCTTGAATTACAAGCTTGAGAAGATTACTTCTTCTAAAAGAAGTTGAGGATCGTGTTGAGTTTGAATCCAAAGAGCTTGACATGATGGATGGTGGTTTGTTTGTACCACCACCAATATCGTACTGTGCTTGAGAGCCACCAAGCCAAGCACTTTTTGATCATGCTGTGCTTAAGACCAGGTAAGACAAACACTTTTCGTTGTCTTTTTGATCTCTTTCTTTCAAAATCACAAATCAGGGCCTTTTGAAAAAAAAAGACTTTCATACATGTACGAAAGTGGTCTCCTAGAATGCAATTTCTAGGGAACCGCACTAAACAAACGCGCTCTTAGGAATATCGAATTATGGAGATTCGGTAGAGGAAACTTGCAAAATCAAGGCAGAGAGGTCAGACGCTGTTTACTCAAGTGTGTATGATGATCAAGCATGAGGGTCATTATCGGCTCCCGCATATAAGAAAACCCCGAATTATGTAAAAGCTCAATCGAGGGATTTGGATCGTAGGGGGCGGTGCAAAACCGTTCTCGTTTCTTATCAATCTCATCACATCAACACCTCTTTACCAACTTCTCTACGTTTCAAACCCTCATCCATCATCCATCATCATGTTATTGATTCCAAAAACTAAAACTTTCGATCAAACTCAATCAAAAGAATTAATCAATCACTTATCCACAACCAAATCAAATCAAATCATCATCTTCTACTCTTCTCATGATTCAAAGTTAAGTGTCTTTTCTTTTTCTCTTTCTTTTGATTCCATTAGGTTTCCTTTCACTTACTTGTTATACTCTTCTTGAATAGTACTGGTCAAATGTGGTGTGGAGATTGTGTAGAATTGCAATCTAATTTGATTAATGTTTTTGAAAATGAAAAGTATCAAGCTTTACAAGACCAATTAGTTTATGTTTATGTAGGGGAAAGAGATCAGTTGAGTCTTTTTTTACTTTTCTTGAAAAATCAGATGATTCAAAAACTTATTATCGATACTGTGTGATCTACGTTTAGATGGAGGTCTTCAGATAATGTATTCAGACAATCACCTTGGTCGATTACCAATCTACCTACGATCTTGAAAGTTTTACCTGGTGAGAAACCTTTAAATGAAAGAGTAAGTTCACCAACTCTATTCTTGACTTCTTTTCCAAAGTGATCGACCGTTTTGCTTTGCTACGTAGATCTCACCACTTGATTCTAGACTAGTAGAAGATGAAGCAAACAATCGAGAAAGACTTGTCAATTATCTGACAACCTCCACATAAGCCTTGAAAAAGACGGCGAGTTCAAATTGAGAGGCGCCAAGATTTAGTTTCAAGGTCTATTTCCTCTAATGACATTGTTGTAAAGGTAAGAATGGGTGGAAAGAGATGAAGCTTGTATAATAAAGACTCAATGTGAATGTGATGTATGCTCCAGAATCATGCTTATCATCCAATCATAAAAACTTGTTCCAAAGTTACCATGAATCGATTGGGCAATCATATCCAGTCACCAAGAGGGATTTTGTCAAGTTCAATCAAAGGTTGAAGTATATTTTCAAAGTTACGATCAGCTTAAAATCCCTGCTTACTTCATCAGCTGTGAGGTGGCAAGTTTTCGATTGTGAAATAAAAACTCTTCGTGAACTGAAATTCAATGACCGCGAAATCTCGGGAAGGTTTGGTGAGTCTAACATCGAGAAGATGAATTCAAAAGAGATAAAACTTGTAAAATCAAAAACAAATCATGTGTGCTCCAGAATCACGCTATTCAATTATAAAAAGTGGTTTCAAACATTTCATGAATCAAATTAACCATCAGATTAAGATCACTTCTTAGATTTACCATCCTTGCCACTAGAACCTGAATTAGGACCAAAACCTTTACCACCAGTAACTGCTCTGATGGCTTTACGAGTATTGAGTAAACCTTTGGTCTTATCATTATCACCACCTTCTTCATTCGAATGCGATTTCTTACCACGTTTAGCAACTTTTTCTTTGAAAGCGGATGGATTCTTTGCTAATTGTTCGACTAGAGCTAATTGGGTCGATCGTTCAGCTGCAGCTGGTATTTCAGCAGGTTCAAACTATCGATTGCAAGATTTCAAATCAAAACAAAACTCTTCAGTATTGATGATATGAAGATCGAGACATTGAAGGAAGCTTACCTTTCGTTTGATACCTTTCGGTTTAGGTTCACTAGCAAACTTTTTATCAAATTTACCAAGACTTGCAGTCGATTTCTTAGAAGTTTGAATTAGACCTTCAAGTTCAGATTTCCTTTTCTGTTGTTCTTCTCTTCTAGCCATTCCTTCAGCTCTAGTTTTCTCTGTATTAGCTGCAATCTTCGCAGCACGAACATCAGCTTTGTTTCTAATAGTAGTAGAAACAGTTTGATTTGAAGTTGATGATTCTAATATAGCTGTTGTACTCGATTTACTAGTTTCTGCATTAGCTCTTTGTATGTTCTTAAGTTGTTGTTTTTGATTTTTAATCGTTCTTTCCTTTCTAGCTCGTTTACCTACATTACGTTCCAAAGCACCTTCTTCTTGATCTTCACCTGCTTTCACTTCTCTAATCCATGCAGTTTCTTCATCTTTATTCTTTCCTTTCCATCCCCATCTATTTACCCATTCTTGTTTATCTTCATCAAATACCATCTTCTCTCGTTGTTGTTTAGGTGCGATTCCTTTATCTTTTGCAAACTTTTGCCATTTCGTTAATGGTGCTGCTTTGGGTAATGGTTTGGCTCTAGGTAAAAGTGTTGAGGGTCCTGAGTGTGGTAATGTTGCTAGAACTCCATCATTAGTTGAGATCGTTGGTAGAGCAAAAAGTGCATTGACTAAAGTTTGGATTCCATCTCTTGTAACTGATTGCAGATATTCTTCTCGATTCGTACTGAGTTATCGCAACAGAGAAACCATTAGCTTTTCAGCCAGGTAAAAAATTTACTTAAAGATATCGACTCACTTGTAATCTGAACTATCGATTGGATTTGGATCAAAACAAGCAAGTAAACCGATATCTAAATCAATTGGTACTTCTCGATGAACGATGATAGATTTCCTAAAAAAAAGAAAGCAAGATTACGAAATTTAAGTTAAACAGTTTGTTTAAGGGAATGTTGAAAAATTGAATTGGTCTCTAACTTTTGGTTCTTTGAAGCAAGGAGATGAGAAACATCAGCCATTTTGGATTATAATGAAGTCTTTCTGGTTCGGTTCTTGAAAAGATTGGTTAACAATTGACCACGATGTATCGAATCGTGATTTTCTTCTTTCTGGATTGGCCTACTCGTGGTTTATAATACCTTAGGGTTCGGACTAAACCTCATTGTCAGAAACCTTACTCCATTTCACAGAGAATGTCACACATAAATCTGTACCGTTGAACCCGCGCACATGCATACCCGGGGGAGCATCGGGGTTTCGTATGTTTTGTGATAATTATCACATGATATTTATCATGTGATAATACAGATCCACGTATTGACATCACACGTTACATGCATAGCCGTGTAGCTGGTTATATCCGCCGGGGCCTGCTGCGCACGGGGCTCGTCATTCCTGTGTTGCTCGCGGTTACCACCTCCCCCAAGCCATACCTTCTTCGATCGCCCCTCACCGTCATTACCTTTTTCCGTCCATTCTTCTGATCTCTTTCGGATTCGCACGAAAATTTTTTCATGTTTTCAAAAAATTTTCCTCATAAAATGACGAAGTCAACCTCGATGTCCAACTGTCCCACAACTTTTGGTGGTTCCTTCACCTATATTTCAAGACCAGCCATACGATATGCCCAGCGAGCCGGGTCCATACATAGGGGCCAGATACCGACGAATCCCCCAGCACCCCTTCTTACCAACACCATATCCTGGCGCTAAGGTGGGTCTGGCTTGTCCAGACTGTCCAGGGAACGATGCGTCTCTAGTTTACATACACGCGGGGGGGGAGGATATCATCAAAATTCGGGTGAGTACCATTCTGAGTCCGTCTGTTCATCTCATCCATACTTGAGCTGATTTACCCTTGATCGAACAAAACAGTGCTCAACGTTTGAAAGGCATTACTACCGCACTTTCAAACTCAACCGATTGAATCACGAGATTGCGTTGATCAACGCTGGCGTCAAATATCCAATTCCGTATGATCCCTCTCAGCATGGACCACCGGTCAACATCAACGGTGCAGTCGTAGCGCCTCGCCCATCAAATTCTCAGGCTAACTCTTTGACACGACCCAAACGCCCGCCACCTGCTGTCAAGTGTTCTCGGCCAAACCAAGGGCCAACCGCAACCAAACATAAAAGTGCCGGCAATGCTGGATGTGTATCGGGCTATTGCAAATCAGTGAGTGTTGACTGTCATTTCCATTTCTGTTGGATATTTTTTTGGTTGACTTGACGTACCTCATCTTTGTACCCTGTAGTGTTGCACTGCGTTCAGTGCTCCCGGCAGTTGCTACGAACACCGCCCGAAGGGACTCAACATGGGTCAGCGTCCGGCGCCATTGAACCCAGCTCAACTACCTCCTGCCCAACCCATTTTAACCGAGCCCCCACGACCCCGTGGCATCCCTCCCCCTCAGTGCTCTCAAAGTGTTCGCCGTGTAGGGCGCATCCTCCCTGAAGAGCACTTCTCGGTGCTGGAAAGAGCGAGACACGCACACGCAGCCATTTCGCGACAGGCTTCATGCCCCTCAATCGACGAAGGGAAGGTTGTTAGCCTTCACTTTGTTACCAAAGTGAGTTTGAGACATTGTAGCAGGACTATTTCCAATTTGTCACACTGAAATATCTCGTCATTCAGGAATCACGATCACCCGTTATATCACATCTCTTCGAAACTTGGCCAGTCGCTGTGTTGGGCAAATGTGTTTCCCTGGCTCGTCAGGTCCAAGAAGCTGCAGGGCCTACCTGGGATGGGAATGTGCTTGTGTGGGATGAACTCGTGAGGAATTGGGTACGTGATGTCTCTCTCGATATCCAGGCGATAGATAATATAGATGTAAATTTATCGACTACTTCATGAAACGTGACTTCAGCGTGAAATACCGATGACACTCCCACACCGATATATCACTACTGCACAAAATCTGGTGGTATGTATACCGAGTCATCGATCAGAGCTGAATCATGACCTTCAAGAAGTTCTAGAAAGTTTGGGACAGGGAAAACCTTTACTGGCCACCAATCCGGCCACCAACTCAATTAATTCATCACCAACATCAACGCAATCAAACAAATCTCTTGGGAAGACTGCGGTGACTGCTACGTCTGAAGATGCACACGATGGTCCAATGGACGACTCTTCCCCCATAGACTCCCCTGAACCTGACCTAATCTCCAAACACCATGGATCCGCCGTTCTTAAAGGCTCAACCGCCAATCCCATTTGTATAGATTTGGACTCAGACTCGGACTGCGACCGCGGAGGTTTAACGGCACCCAAAGGTTTCATAGATCCGGGACTACTGACTCCTCCTGATGACGAGGTCCGTCATTTCCTCTTCCATCTGCCTGCATTCTCAAAACGCCTCGAAAGTTGACACCAAACTTTTTGCCTCAGCCCGATAGGAAGCCCTTGCAATCCGAGTCGAACAAGACAAATGCTCCACGACCCCAGCATTTACAAGAATGGCCAGGCAAAAAACTCCTTGTCTCTTCACTACTGGAATGGTACGCCGCGTCTACCACTCGGGGAACCCGGACACCGCAGTGGTTTGAACGTTTTGGAAACGAGTATGAGTACGAAGATCAAACGGTCCATCGCTATTGGAGATGGGTGGACAAAGTCACTTATGAGAGGTTTCAAAAGTGGCATGAGGAATGGCCTTTAGTGGGTGATGTCACTCAGGAAAGCATTCTTGTTAGTCAAGCACGGCGTGTTTTTCAGCTTGAGTTCAACGCAGTCGCCAGGTTAAAGAATTCACTGGTGCGTGAGCGCGGCCTTGGTGTGGGCAAGGGTCCTCGACCTGTTGTTCCACGGAAGAGGAAAAACAATTAATTTCTACCTTTGTTATGATATGTTTCCCTGGTTATATTCCTTTCTTGCGGGGTGGGGTGTTACGGTTGTCACCGGGGGTTCTTTTGGTCGCTTCCCTTGGCTATCCCTTGTCAACTACAACATAGAGATGTCTAACCTGGAATATGAAAATCATTAGTCATATGTGTCATGCCTGGTCCGTCGTAGCCATAGAGGACCCCTTGGTTATGATATGATCAGATCACGTCTAGACAAAGACGTCCAGCCCGTGATCCAAATGGTATTAAACACAGTGATTCATGACCCACCAAGTAGTAAGTACGACCCTCTTCATAAGAATTTCTTCAACGTTTCCATCATTGCCATATTTTTGGACGCGATCTACTTCCACAAACTTTCCCAAGTCTATATAGAGTTGTCTATATAGACTATCAAATCCCCACAAACGATTTGCTTTAAACTGAACGAACAAAACGTCACTATGGACGAGATAGATTTATACAAAACCTTAGGCTTTGGTGGGTACATATAATGTACCTACCCGCAACATCATTATCCTTGTACTGATCTTTTTTTTATTCCGCAGGTTCACGAAGCATCCAGATGACTGCAACAGAAGACCTTGGATGGAGGGCTCTGCCTTTCGATGATCATAGTCAACCACAAGACCTAGAGAGTGACTTGGTCTTTGCGCTACTCCCACGTCCAGGTGCTGCGTCACAATCAGATGCCCTCGACTACCAATGGACATCTAATTATGCCCATGTGGATGTGGACCAAACCGGTCGAATTCATTATTGGGACGGCCGTACCACCCATCACGCTATCATGCATTCCCTGAATCCAGCAATTGAGAAGATCGAATTGAATGCATGTGCTCTTGATGCAAATCACGATACTCTAGTGGATCATCTTCACTTCGCACAGATGTTTGTCCATGCTGCGTGCCTCTTCGACAAATTCAGAGGAGTCCTTGTAGAAGAAATAGACTTCACTCCAAAACAAAACAAACGCCTTAAGAACATGCATGTGAGCCAACATTTTACTCATTCATCTTTGGCCAAGTATCCTACTTATCTTTTTTAATTTCTGCTTCAGTTTGTTCAGAATGTGGTCTTGTGTAAGCGGAACGATGGGGATATTGAACCAGTGAAGCGTTGGTTCAATCTCCGTGAACCACTGGCTGGGACACCAGCTTTCATAACCTCTGATTGTCAGTTTGAACCTCGGCAACACGCGAAGGGTTTTGTGGGTGAGATACTTGCCTGCTTCACTCACTGGAGCTACGAATACCATGGAAGGCATGCCCTGATATGTGGCTTCCGTGGGATTGGTGATGTGATCACTGATCTAACGATCATGGATGATGAGTACGTCATCCTTCACATGTATGTCGCATTCTAATGAACTGATCATTTGTTTGATTGCATCTGTAGACGACCTTGGTTTCTCGACAATACATTTACAGGTGGTTTGCAAAGCTTCGCATCGAAACATCAGTGTTCAAGCGTATGTGATGCAATTGGCTTGACAAAGCCTCCACCGTTCTACAAATTGGAATGATCACATCAAAATCAATGGAATTGCTTTGTATTGTGATGGTTTTCAAACGCAATGACCCCATGCCCTTCAATTCCAATCTTTTTCCCTTGTATGTTCCCTGCATGTATGAGGTTTTGGTTAGTCTTGTTTGGAGATTGTGTTATATGGATCTGTGTGATTGTATCTAGCCATACCAAAAGAAAATCATTCATGACGCACACCAAAAGTGGAATTTTGCCAACCAATCTTTCATTTACAATTCAAGATTGTAACAGCTCCTTTGTAGCACTTGAGATAGGTGCTATGTCTATGGGGGCATATCGTTTTATTAAAACTCATTTGGGGCTTATAAGTTTTGCTTCCACAAGGCTAGAAAGCGTTTGAAGTTTTCTAACAACCATTTACTTCATGGGTGGAAGACAATATAGGTACAACCTTCCACTATGTAGCAGGTTGTAAATGGTCCACGTAGAACTAGGGGAAAAGCATTACAATATCTACATGTAGTGATCAAAACCCCCACTATAAGTTTGGAAGGATTGTGTTAGAGGGTTACAATATCTATCTGCAATGTTAAAGTAGGTTAAAATTTAATTGAGGAGTTTGAACTACTTATATAAATTTTTGGAAGTGGATATGTTCCCACCATTTCCAACACCGTTGATGAATCAGTTTGGGAGTGCGGTAAAGCGGATCACCTTGACATGATTGATTATGTTCCCCATATTCAATCCTTGAAAGTAGATTTACGCTGCTGGATGTATAGTGAAGGTCAGATTATAAACATTTGGTTCTGATGTGTGAGCTTTCTCAACATCTTTTTGCTATAAGATGTATGTATTTAAATGTGATGATATCTATTGAAATCCTCACGTTTAAATCAAGCTTGCCAAAAAAATATATATTATATATTTAAAGTCAATCATAAATATATAATATATATATACTTTCATCCAAACATTCCAATCTACAATAAAGTTAAGAAAAAAACTGTCCTCACTTGGTTCACAAAGATGATCGATTTTGATCCACTGGAAGTTGAGTATAGATTTATCCGTGTTTTGAGATACATAAGCATACATGCTATATTTGACCTATTTTATAAACAAGGTTAAATTAAACAGCCTTCCCCGTGTTTTTAGAAACAGATTTATTCGAACCCAGAGTGAAACAGGTGGAATGACACAAAAAAAAGCCTTCCCCGTGTGCTTTGGAACAGATTTATTGGAACCCAGAGGGAAACAGGTGGAATGACACAACGATATAGAACTGCAAGTGACTAACAGCCAAAAGAGTTGACGCAAGGGGCTTCATCAAATGGAGGGGGGATGAGGCCAATGTCAATACGTGTCAATTTGAATCAGTATGGAGGTAGGTAGAAGTCAAGGACATACCTCGAAACTATGAAACCGGAGGATGAATTAAAATTTTTGTGAACCAATATACTCCAAGCTTGGCCGGGCAGCCAATGCATCACACAGCCATATGTTGCGAAATTCAACCATTTCTTCCAGGAAAAATTCATACCGGGTAGCCTGCATGTTGCGACACATGGAGGCAAATCCTCCATACCATATGTTACTCAACTCACCGGCTGAGGCATTGAAGATCCAGGAACCTTTCTGTTGCAAGTCGGGGAATTTCTTGGGGTCAGTGTACATTTGAAAAAAGCTATCGCTCTCTTTATGAGAGCGATGATGGAAGGGGTCAACAGGAATGACTGTGTTTTCAAAGGGAGTCGGATCCTTGTCTCCATTATGTATCACTTGTAACAGGTTGCAGGCATTGTCGTAGAAGATCACTTCTGGCAGACCATCTGGGAAGGCTTCAACAAGATAGTCCTTTAAGCAGGTAATACAATTGTCAGTGAAACGGTTTCCAGAGATGTGCATGTAAAATGATGAAATGCGACATACCCTCAGGGCACTGGGTGCTTCTGCGTTGTAGAACGTTCTCCGAGATAATATGATGCCGCACGCACCGACGATGAGTTGGTCATTATGCGTGCGGGAACGGCTCAAAACAGGTGTACCTTTGGGCTTAGCTACGCCACCGTCACGGGCAGCCTCGTGTTCTCGATCGGCCTCGTTGGCTTGGTGGAGGGCGTCAAAATCAATTAGTTCAGCGGTGTCAGGATGGAGGTGGACAGAAGGATCAGATGGAAGGTGTGATCCCGGCCGGTTGAGCATGGATTTCAGTGAAAAGTTTTTCTTTTTTAACGCTTGAAACACCTTGAAAGCTTCCTTGTGTTTTTTTGCTTTGGCATGTTTGCGATCCTGGTTCAGCAAGAGCGGTGCAAGGTTGTGCAACGCACCAACCTTTCAAACTTTCCTCGTGATCTGCACAAAATCGAGAGGTTACTTTTGGTAAAGCGTTGAGGCACGGGCCATCAGGAGGTGGAGCCCCGGCGCGATGTGCTAGCGCTTGGAGCTGTGCAGAGGATGCAGTGCACCGCCAATGGCCTATCGTAAGGCCGTCGGTGACCACAGCGCGGATAACTGATATGATGAAAAACGTAAGCAAGAGGTCAGACAGGCTTAAATAATTTGAGTTCCACAACCTTGATTAATATTTAAATCGGCATCCTTACTTTTGACTGTATTCTTTCCTTCGTGCTCAATCGGATATGTTCGCACACACAACGAACAAAAATGATCACGGTGATGTGAACCATTATTTGCTATATAATGGAGCTCTCGGATCATCGCGGGTAGTAAACGGTCGGTGTTGTCTCCATGGGCACTGACGTGCAGCACATATCCACGTCGCTCACATCGTCGGAGGAGGCTGAAGATGTCGACCCCGTCGCGCGCGACTTCTTGCGAGATCTTAGGACATATGAGGCGGTTGCCTGAGTTAATTGGCACTTGCTGGCCCTTGAAATTGGTCGTGTTGTATAAGTTGACGAGATTGAAATTGGATATGCTGGGAAAAAGGAAATGTGAGTGTCAGTCCGGTTCTTCCTGCTAGGGGACATATGCATTTGGGGACTGACTGCGCTAACATCTGCGATTGTCGGAATGACATTGCTAGACGGTAGGTCATGCCAAAGTGGCAGTGCACCTGGTAGTGATCCGGGTGGGCGCCCTGGGCTTTGGTGTAATATACACGTGTTTCGTTTGTGGTGTAATACGACGGTCGATAGGTGGCGCGACAATCTACGAAGGTCTAGATGTCAGGAGGGGTGTGATCAACGTAAACAGCAATGCGGGTATTTTGCTATACCTAGACAAGACCAGGTATAGAACTCGGCGGAGTGTATACCGTCGAGGTCGTACACATAGCCATGCCTTCGAGGTCGAATCTCAAGGGGTCGTCCGGAACGTTGATCGCAAACTAGGCAGGTAGAAGTAGGTGGAGTGAGATACACTTCGTGAATCTTAGTTGGAAGTTGCACCTCCAGGCCGTGCAAGCGTATCAGATTGGCAGGGTTAATGTGGGCGAAGGGGACCGAAGGAAATGTTAGATTCCAGAGGGCTTCGTACTCGTCCATGTCCAGGTCAAGTTGCAATGCGAGCGATAGGAACGGTAGAACCCTAGTGTCAGCTGAAGTAAATTTTAACACATTGTCAGCCCGGTTGTACACCTCACTGGCGAGGTTGACAAATTTGACAAGGTTGGCGAGCGTGAGATGCCGTGCAAGTTGCGGATGTTCTGCTTCGAGACGTGAGGTAAAGTTGGTGACGAGCATGATTCCACCAGACCAACTGTAGATAGAGCAATAACCGGGGAGTCAGCACTCTTCAGTTGGAGATAAAAGAATGGAAGCGAATGGGAAAGAGGTGAGGTTACCGATGAAGTTGACCACTAGATTGACGACTAGAGGTTATGGTGTTTCTTAGCGATCGGAGGATAGACGACGGTGTACAGAAGGGCAGTACGACGAGAAGACCTCCGAACGGATGTCGGTATAGAACCATAAACAGTACAAACTTTGGAGGAATGGGTCCCGCAGGCAAGCACGTGAGAGACCCAATGTCACGTCTGTGGTTGCAAAGTATTCTGAATACAAGCATAACTGTAGGGCTGTATGATGCTTTTACAAGATTTTATCATAAGTCGTGTGATAGTTATCACAAGACATACGAATCCTCGATCTACCCATACCCGGGCACATTTTGGCTTCCACCCAGCTGCTGTGGTCCATTCTTTTATTAATTGCATAACTAGAGTCCCGTGGGCGGCCCGCCGCCCTCCCGTGCTCTGTGTAAAGATGCACCGCTCAATTACAACGTTACTTTGTCACTGCCAACAAAGGACCATCACAGTCCCCATGCAACCTTTGACACATCCTCCAATGCTGTTCTGCCTCCCTTGGCAATGCATCACCCCTTTGCCCTCATATTTCTCCACCATCATCCGCTATTAAGCATGCCTTCAAATAAACCAAATGCTACCATGCTACTCCGATAACAACTTTTTGGCCCTGACTGGCTGGTAGTGATGATATTAACTAACCTACATTGCAGGGTTAGTCTTGCCTCACAGTCAGTGGAGGCGCCTGGCCTAGTCAAGTTGATAGCAAAGGGCTCGGTTGCTCTACTTAATTGGACTGTCAGCCCTGATTCAAATTGCATCACTTTCCGCAAATGCAATAACAGGTCAATGCCGTGCAAATCGTGCCCCGCCAATGGCTGTGAGGCCCTATGACGGCAATGATGGAGAATGACAACTGTTTGCGAAAGAAGTTCTGCCGTGGAGACCCAGGCGGAGATTGTCAACGGGTTTTGGCGATGGGCTGAGCCTTCTCTCATTCACTGCCCAGACTGGTTTGTTCTATTTAAGGGTCAGAGTCATGCTGATGTAGCTATGACCATGATCAGAGATACAGGGTGTACCACGCCGACAGGTATGAGGCCCTATGACGGCAATGGTGCAGAATGACAACTCTCCGCAAAAGAAGGTGTGAGGCGGAGACCCAGGCGCAGAAAGTCAACGGGTTTCGATGATGGGCTGAGCCCTCTCTCATTTACTGCCCAGACGGGTTTGTTATATGAAGGGTCGGGGTCATGCTGATATAGCTATGACCGTGATTAGAAACAACAGGGTGTAGCTTTTGTTGACCACATTGGTTAAGTTTCCGTTAACATGCCCGTAAGTGGTCGTTCTATCAAAGTATTGCGGTCAAACTGATGTAGCTATGACCGTGATTAACAACAACAGGGTTTAGGTTTTGGTGACAACAGAATTGAATTTTTGGCGGCGGCTTTTTTTTGTTTTGAGCAAATTTTCTTTTATTTGTTTGATCATGTCAAAAACCACAATGCATAATTTTCTTCAAGTCCCCAAAGTTGAAGTGACCTATGCCATTTTCAGCTCTCATGATTCAATTCAAAAGAATGGGTATAGTGTGAGTGCTGTGCAGACACAGTTGTAGATCTGAAGAGTCTAAATAGGCAAGCATGCAAGGTCTGTAACTTGCTTCTCTTGAGCATAGCCACAGAGAACTTACACCAATGATATTGTGTGGTATGCTGACAATGCAGAAGGATGTATGTATGACCTAAGCTGCCGTGCTATGTAGCCTGAGGCTGAAGGTGACAGTAGATGATACAGTTATGGGTATATTTGAGCTCCAGGGGTTTCCAGGGGTTTGAGTGGCAGACAAATCTACCAGGATCCACTTGTAATAATCATACTGGCATCACAATCAAAGATGCTTATATAACATGTCTGGCATCTGACTCCAGGCCAAAAACAACCAAACATCTGGGGACCTCTTAGCTTAACAAAACCCTCTCTGCACTGCCACATTGGCACCCTTGCAGAGGGGCTTACAACTAATGGATGATTCCCGGTGTGAGTACTCAAAAGATTAATTCTCCTTGTGCAGTTTTTTGAGTTTTCTCACTTCCCTCATAGACAAACATCATTTGAGAAAGTTGTTCTAGATAATCTTCTACACATCCTTGTGGCCTCATAACATAGGTCCTATGAGTGATGTCGCAAAACATTTGGTTTGAAGATGTTTACAACCTTGCCTGCAGTGTGGCCTTGTTGTATTTTGAATTCATGTGAACACATGCTGCATACCCCCTTACAAGTAGGACAAATCTTGAAGACGTACCACAACAACTGCATGATGGAGTGGGTTTTCTTGGTTGATAAAGGGGTGGAAACATGTAGAAAATAATCCAGACAACTTTCCTTGTAGGTTCAAGTGATGTTTGAGTTATGTTTTTCTCAATGAAATTTGTTAACCACTTGATCATTTCAATTCATTCCATAAGAATACAGAAGTTGATGACATTCTCTGATTAAATTGAGAGCAGTAAACTTCAATTATACACAATAAATTTTTGTTGATGCATGGGCATGAAACACCATTATATTTTTGGTGAGATGTGCAAAGGCACATGAAACTCTTAATTCATGGATATCAACAGAGTTCCTAGACTAAATTTTTACTCTCTTTGTTGATTGGAGATTTCAACAGAGAAAACTTTGAATTTTTTAGCTCAAGGCAAACCTGTTACCTGTTGGCAGTGCTGATAAAAAATTGTATATCTTGCTATCTGAGAGACATGAGACATGTTTCAATTACAAATCAAATAAACTTTGTTAATTGTTTTATCATTGCAATTGATTCCATCAAGTATACAGAAGTTGGAATTGTCTGCTGCTTAAATGGAGACCAGTAACAATCAATTATACAACATAAACCTCTATTGACAAAACTGAGATCTGGATCTCTGAGAGCCATTAACAAGTTTCACCTATAAATTCAATGAAATTTGTTAACTGCTTGATCATTTCAATTCATTCCATAAGAATACAGAAGTTGGTAACATGCACCAATTGAATTGAGACCAGCAAACTTCAATTATACCAGATAAATTTTTGTGGATGCGTGGGCATGAAACACCATTATATTTTTGGTGAGACGTGAGAAGGGAGACTAGTGTGTTTCACAAAATTTGCAATTCATGGATATCACCAGAGTTGTGTATTTAAGATCAACATCTGTTCCTCATTGCCACAGACTGTACTGTTATAATCCAGATTCTTTACCAATAACAATCTCCATCAAAATCCAAATGGAGATAGTGAAAAAGAAATCAATACTCCTATACTGGTCTCTCCAGATTATTTTTCAATATGTGCTATGGCCTTATCCTATCCTGTCAATGGAGCATACCCCTGAAGCATTGGCAAGATGTGAGGAACATTTTTCAGATACCAAGACTTGTGTGCTCACAAGTCGGAACTTCTTTTCTTTTGAATTAGTGGATGACCTTACATTGTCAGATGGGGCCTACATTGGACACTGGAAGCTCGATACTTCTGAATTACCAGATGATGAACCATACCAGCGACTTGGAAGATCAAAAAAATCAAATAAGTCAGGAAGTTTTTGGGGAAAACGTGAGTTATAACATGTAGATTATCTTATAGATGTAATTGTATCCAAGACTTATCTGATATTCTGTTCCACTTAGTTTATAAGATTTTTTCTTCAGGTCCAAGTTCAGTAGCATTGCAAGGGATATTTGATGATGAATATGACAACAGAGTAAGTGAAAGTTCAAATCCTGCAATCAGGAGATTCTCTGGTACAACAAAGTATTTGGATAGGTTTGAGGATTTTTGGAAAACAAGTGAGCATTGAGGGGTACACTATCTTGCTCATATTTTACTAAGATTCATCTGACAACATGGGATTAAACTTCAGTACCTGAATGTGTGGAACATTCTGATGATAGTGGGGAAGTGCCACCATTTGTGAGACAGATCTCATATGTTTTCCTTGGAAAACAATGTGACTGGGCTTCAGGCATTAAGATTTTCTCTGAGAGATTTCACACCTTATACAGTCAGCAAGATTCTCAAGATCACAAAATCTTGTACAAAGCTTTATACAGACAGGCAGAATTGGAAACTATTCCAATTGATGTAGCACAGACAGTGCTGACTATCTTGGCAAAAATTAAGCTGGCTGCCAGGGAAGCTGATTATACCAATGAAGATTGGATCAGTGAGTATCAATTGGCAAGAGACACCTATGTTAAGATCATGGAAGATTATATCGGGGCTCTCAAAACACCTGAGTGAGTTTATTTTTGACACTAGAGCATTTTATCTGTCTGTATATGAACATGGCAAGATCCTAATGCTTGGTTCCAGGCAATATCAATGGTTTAAAAACATACAACTTGAATTGGGAATAATACAATCTTGGGATTCCTGTCAGAGCAGGGATCAAGATAGTTCAAACTTAATCAATTGAAACTAATCCGATTCCTACGACCACGAGATACTCACCTGTCAGAGCAGGGATCAAGATAGTTCAAACTTAATCAATTGAAACTAATCCGATTCCTACGACCACGAGATACTCACCTTCAACCAAGATTGTATGAGAAATTCTTGGATCAGATTTAATTTCCATCACAATCAAAGAATAAAATATGAGACAATAATAGAAACTAAACATACCTGTCAGAGCAGGGATCAAGATAGTTCAAACTTAATCAATTGAAACTAATCCGATTCCTACGACCACGAGATACTCACCTTCAACCAAGATTGTATGAGAAATTCTTGGATGAAGGGAGAAGAGCTCATGGCGCTCTGTCAGTACTGTTTATAAATAAACAAACAACCGGTACATAGGTTTTGATTAGGTTTAGAAATGTTACACTTAATCAAAGTTACATATGTATATTGAAATAAGAGAAGAAAATCTAAAGTGTTGAGTACGTGACATATGAAAGTGTGAAACATACGTGAATGTCAAATGAATTACAAAACACCATAATTGTAACATCCCCCCATTTTCAAACAAATTTCAATATAAGTTGTTTAATTTTAAAGCATGAGTTATAGCCGAAGGTCCTAAAGGTTTGGTGAGAAAATCAGCTAACATTTGATCTGAAGGAATATATTTAACTTGAATATCATTTGATTGAATCATTTGACGAATATAATGATGGCGTCGATCGATGTGTTTTGATCTTGCTTTTAAACCTTCTCCTGAAGCTGTGAATATAGCAGAAGTATTATCAATATGAAAAATAGTAGGACGTTCTAGTTGTTGCATGATATCAAAATAAAATGATCGTATCCAAGCCATATGTTTAGAACACTCTGTGGCTGCCACATATTCAGCTTCTGAAGTTGAAAGAGCTACAATAGATTGACGTTGAGATTTCCAACTGACTGCACCATTTGCTACTGTGACAATATAACCGGTTACTGATTTTCGTGTTGTTGAACATTGTGAAAAATCAGAATCAGAGTAAGCCAAAGGTTCCTCCATCCCCCCAGAGTAGGTGATTCCTAAAGCTTGAGTACCCTTGAGATATCGAAGTAAATGCTTGGCTGCGGTCCAATGAGTTAAAGTCCATGCCGAATTGAATTTGGAAAGCTGAGAAACAGCATATGAAATGTCTGGCCTAGTTACAGCCGATATCCACTGAAGACACCCAACCATCTCCTGGTAAGGAATATCCTTTGCCTCTTCGATTTCTTCATTCGTGCCTGGAACTAGAGTTGTCCGTTGAGGTAATGGAGTTTTAGCCGAATTACAGTTGATCATGGCGAAGCGTTCAAGAACTGATTCAATATAATGAGATTGTGAAATCTTGATGGAAGATTCATCATCAGCAATTTCTAATTTGATGCCAAGGTATAACGTGGGCTTCTCCGTCCATTTTAATTGGTATTTAGAATCAATAAAGACTTGGAATTTAAGAAATAGCTCATCATTGTCATAAAATACCATAGAATCATCAACGTGAAGGTGTAAGATGAGAGTACCTAAATCACATTTGAGGACGTATACGGCGGAGTCAGAATCAGTTGGGTTAAGGTGGAATTCTGAAGTTGTTGCACCAAAATGCTGCTGCCATCTACGAGCGGCTTGTTTGGTTCCATATAACGATTTGATAAGTTGCCACACTCGATTAGGCTGAGTTGGATGTTCAAAACCCCGGACTTGACATGCAAATACTAAGTCTTTCATGTTACCGTTTAAGAATGCGGTGACTACATCAAACTGACGTTTACGCCAGCGTCTCTTCACCGATAATGCCAGAAGAATGCGTAGTGAATCAAGCTTGCCAACAGATGCATACGTATCATTATAGTCTAGGCCTTTTATCTGATGATTACCTAATACAACCCATCTAGCTTTGTATTTGACAATCCGATTGTGTTCATCACGCTTGCGGTTGAATACCCACATCCCCCCAAGAACATTCGCCCCTGAAGGCCGGTCCACAAGTTTACCGACTCCATGTTGAGTAAGGGAATCGAATTCATTCTGCATTGCTTGACGCCATGCATTCCTGTCAGGACCAGACATGGCTTGCTTAAAAGTCGGACTATCAGGGTCGTTACCAGTCGTGGCAGAGAGACCATAGCTGTTTGGGATAACGCGAGCAAGTTTGGCCGTCTTCTTTGTGAATCCATAGCGTTCGGGCTCCTTTCGCGTTCTCAAAGATCGCCTTGGAGCAGGTGGAGTTGGAGCATGTTGTTCTGAAGGCTGATCTCGTGTCTCAAGAGAAGGAGGTACACTGGCAGGCGTTGGTTGTGCTGCTGGTGTCTTTGGTTGAGGTTGAACAACGGGAGACGGCGTAGGAGTAGGAACCTGGACATGCTGAGGAGGCGGAGTTGGAGTACGTGCTTTGGGCGAAGCACTAGACGAAACCTTTGGAGAAGATTGAATAGACGGCCTGGGTGATTCCTTCGGAGAAGATCGAAGAGACGCATTCGGTGAAGCTTCCGGAGAGGATTGAACAAACTCATGAACCTCGTCTGGAATTGATGAAAGTTCGGAGGAAGAGTTTGAACCTGGGATTATCGGACTGTTTGCTGATGACACCGGTGAGCCCACTGGCGTAAGCGCAATTGGGGATGCTGAAGAATGAGACGATGGAGGAGAAATCGACCGATATCTTTGTTGAACCAACTCAGACGGAAGTCTCTGAACTTCCGACTGATTTGGAGGTGATTGAATTGGCGAAGGCAATTTAGACTGACGATTCGGTGATATTGAGGTACGTGACTGAGTTAAATCGACATGAGGAGTCTGTTGAGTTGAATTGACAGGAGGTGCATGAATTGAGCCAGACAGAGGAATAAGAACTCTGGGGCAAAACTGCGGCGGAGATGAAGATCGGTCGGACTCGTCTTCAATGATTATTGGAAGCTGAGTATCAAGGTCATTTGTAGGACCTGAACCAGGAGATTTGACGACCTCTGTGATGGGATCATCTGGTACAATCGGTGGATCTTGACCTTTAGTCATCACCAATTGATCTGTGAGAGTGGGTACGATGAGATCCTTCACCACATCAGGTGAGAAAGTCGGATGGAGGGCAGGGAAAACATCCTCTCGATACAGAACATCACCGGTGATAAAAATTCGACCGGTCTGTTTGTCCCAAAGACGAGCTGCACGAGCACCATCCTCAAGACCAACAAAGATGAACCGCTTTCCTACTGGAGCAACTTTGGATTTGCGCTGTCGATCCACAGCAAAACATAAACATCCAAATGGTTTGAGTCGGTCTACGTCGAAAGGATGAACGTGACCGGGAAGGAGAGATTCGAAAACTTCAATTGGCGATTGGTTTTGAAGTGCTGCCGAAGGAGAGCAATTAATCTGTATACAACAGTACTTAACCAGCTCCCCCCATAAAGAAAGAGGAAGACCACTTTCAAGTAGTTGAGCTCGAATCTTTCCCATGAGAGTACGAAAATATCGTTCTGAGACAGAGTTTGCCATAGGTCGATGAGCTGGACCTTTCTCTTCTTCAATACCCTCTTCTTTGAGATATGAAAGAAACTCATTTGAGGTATACTCTCCTCCTCGATCGGATTTGAGCTTCAGGATCTTGGCACCACATTTGTTTTCCATTAAGGCTTTGTATTGTTTGAAAGCGGCGAAAGTTTGATCTTTGGATTTCAGAAGATACAAAGAAGCATATCGAGAATGATCATCAATAAAACTGAGTACATATTTGAAACCAGATTTCGAGGCAGGAGTTATCGGACCCAAAAGATCGCTATGTACAAGATTAAGCAATTTTGGTGATCGATGAAATGGAGAGGTAGCAGGAGATTGAGTGAGTTTCCCCATGGAGCAAGCATCACAAGAAACGAAATTATTTTTAGATATAGGAAGTAATTTTTGACGACGTAGAAAATGAATAACACCGTCAGGATGCAGGTGTCCCAAACGTCTATGCCAAGTCATCGCCAGCTTTTCCGGATCAGTGTAGGAGAAAAGAGCTGAGGTTGGACTGTGAGATATGATTGGTGTCCATAGACGATTTGTCGTAGAGCTACGCTGCATCCGAAGAACCTCATTGCCGTGTGAATCTGTAATCGTTCCGATGGTTTTGTCGAATGAAGCATGATAGCCATCATCACAAAGAGATCCAACCGATACAAGGTTTCCAGTCAATTTCGGCGAGTAAAGAACATCTCGAAGAAGTAAGGAGCCAAATCTTACATTCCCTTTACTTCTTGCCCAGATAACTCCGTCTTTCGATGCTACACTTATCCTAACGGGACGACAATTACGTAAATCAGAGATTAGAGAGATATCTGAAAACATGTGACTTGTTGCACCCGTATCACAGATGATTGGCGTACTGAAAGAAGTTGAAGCGGAAAAAGCAGAGTCCCAGTAGGAAGTGTCCTCGTCTGGCTCAATGATGTGTTGAGAGATTTGAGCGACGTTGGATGAATTACCTGATGGTGAGGCTGAGGCTGCTACCTTCTTCTCATGCTCCAGGAAAGCTCGGAATTTTCGAGTTCTACAGTTTTCGTCGGTGTGTCCTGCATGTCCTAAAGAGCAACGAAGACCGTTGGACGGTTGAGATGAATGATCCTTCTTCTGCTTCAATTTCGATCTTGAATTATTGTTACGTCTTGCTGCCAAAGCGGTATCTGATTTGTTGACCGATCCATTTCTAGTGGCTTCAATCTTGAGCAGTGAGAAAAGTCTTGCTAAAGTTAATTCTTTGAAGTTTGTAAGAAGACTTTGAACAAGTGGAGTATACTCAGATGGAAGGGATCTGACGAGAATGATGGTGATGAATGGTTCAGGAATTTTGTAGTCTGGGATTGAAGCTAGATTACTGAGTAAATCATTATAAATCTTTCTGAACTTGGCGACATGCTCATTAAGATCATCATCTGAATTCATATGAAGAGACATCAAATCAGAGAAAAGCTGAGCAGTGGAAAGACCTCCAGCATCGTCGTGATATTCGCAGAGTTTGTCGAAAGCATCCTTCGGATCAGTGCAAGAACGAATGACTTGGAAGTTCTCATTGTCAATGGTTGCGTGAATAGCAGCCAAAGCTCGAGATTGATTAGTCTCATGATCCTCGAGTTCGGTTTCGTCAGTCGGTGCAGGAATCTTCTTGAGAATGTACTTAGAAAGACGTTGTCCACCTAGAAGAGTAGTCAACTTGAGCTTCCAATCGTTAAACGTGCCGGTCGAGAGTTTCACAACTGATGAATAAGAGGAGGTTGAGAATTCTTTGAGATCGGACGTCATTGTTTTAGACTTGGTGGGGAAGGGTATGGTATTTTTAGAATTCGAAGGAAGAGATGGTGGCAGAGACTGAGATTTGGGGTCTTCAGCTTTGGGTTCGGATTTGGGGTCTGTGACGTTTGATGGATTCATTCAAACAACTGAGATTATGCAGAGTAAATCATCGAGATCGGAGGAAATGTGAATAGCTTGATTGATAAGTTTGAAAGATTGTGATGGATCGATAGGTTGCCGCAGACGTATTACGCTGGGCTCATAACCTAATACAATCTTGGGATTCCTGTCAGAGCAGGGATCAAGATAGTTCAAACTTAATCAATTGAAACTAATCCGATTCCTACGACCACGAGATACTCACCTGTCAGAGCAGGGATCAAGATAGTTCAAACTTAATCAATTGAAACTAATCCGATTCCTACGACCACGAGATACTCACCTTCAACCAAGATTGTATGAGAAATTCTTGGATCAGATTTAATTTCCATCACAATCAAAGAATAAAATATGAGACAATAATAGAAACTAAACATACCTGTCAGAGCAGGGATCAAGATAGTTCAAACTTAATCAATTGAAACTAATCCGATTCCTACGACCACGAGATACTCACCTTCAACCAAGATTGTATGAGAAATTCTTGGATGAAGGGAGAAGAGCTCATGGCGCTCTGTCAGTACTGTTTATAAATAAACAAACAACCGGTACATAGGTTTTGATTAGGTTTAGAAATGTTACACTTAATCAAAGTTACATATGTATATTGAAATAAGAGAAGAAAATCTAAAGTGTTGAGTACGTGACATATGAAAGTGTGAAACATACGTGAATGTCAAATGAATTACAAAACACCATAATTGTAACAGGGAAGGTATGGTGTGAAGTTAAGATATGATTTTGAAATGAAGCATGGACGAGTCCTTTTCATGCATTGGATCTCAAGTAAGTTCAGGAATCTTCTATAATGTGCAATAGAATCTGATGGGTAGTGGAAAACATGAAAGACATGCCACTTTATCTGGATTTCAATGATTATAGAAAGGCTTTTTTTGAACTCCAACTCTATGTAACCAAGATGATCAATGCAGCATCAAAACCAATTCCTCAAGATGAACACTTGAAATTCTTCACAATGATATGTGTTGAGTGCATCCGAGCCCTGGAATCAGAAGAGTGAGTAACATGCAAGGATCCTTTTAAAGCCTTATCAATTTGGATGATTCAACTTACCTTTGATATTCAGTGAGTTGAACCAATTCCTATCACACCAAGAGTATTTCAATCCCTACGGTCTTGAAATAATGAATTCATCCAGCTATGGACTACTTCCAAAGATCAAAATTCTGAAGTTTTGGGCAAAAAGTTAGCATTTCTATCATTTATAATCAACAGACAAGCTTACTGAATCATTTCCTCTTCAGACATGTTTATATATCTGAAGAGTAAGAACATTAGAGGTGCAGAAAATTTGATTTCAACTGTGAATCACCTTGTGAAATATGACTTTGAAGAGATAAGTGCCAAGATGGAAGAGTATCAGGAGGGATTAGTAGCTGGTAAATTTAGATTAAAAAAGCCAATCCTCCATGGATTCTTGACTTATTATGCCCAAAACACCAAACATAAAGGTAACATTGAATTTATCATGGATCCTATAAATGAGACTTGTAAACCGGGATGTTCTATGCCAGGAATTGGTTCATGAAGCCTAATTCTACAGTGATCTTTGTCTTTTGATTCCTCCATCACTACTCTATCAAAAACCAAACCTTGTTATCAAATCTTGAAAAGTACTAAAAAATGTTTTTCACACATTCATATATTCACATCAAAATTGTCAAGAAATTTTGAGGTATTTTCCAGGCCAATAGTGTTTCACAAACTTTTCCAAAAAACTATACCAAAAATTGTCTCAACCATGTTCAATTAGATGTAGGGGAGGTGATCATCAAGGATGAACATTGTTGGTTCTCAAACCTAAGGGTCAAACTTCAACTCTGTTTATTTATGGTACTCAAAACCACTAGGTTCAAGCCACCTTTTTCAAAAAATGTGAAAAACATAGATTCAAAGTTGATCTTTTTGCAGGGGAATTCCTGGGAATTCTCTGGAACTTTTTTTTGGAGCTCTGTACGGTTCATCTTCTCCGCAAAAACAACATTTTGAAAGCAGGTTTTCAAGAAAGGTAGCACGGACCTAGTGGTTTTGAGTACCGTAATTATGACAGTAAAAGATTTCATTATGTTACCTCAAGGCTCAACCAAGCTAAATGATCAGTTTCTATTCTTTAAATGCCCATTTAAACTTTCTCTGCTTGGAAGTGAACGGTGTTGTGTGACCTTTCAATCCAGACATTTGATCTCTTGATGGTGGATGTTGAACAGGATCCATGATGCGGCTTGGATCAAGGTTGCCACATAATCTTACCTCTGGGTGACCAACACACATGTGTTACCTATCAACTTATATAACACTGACACACCACACCTACCATATCATAAGATGATTCCAAAAACTATCAAAACCTAACCAAACCACTTCTTTTGTAATCTTCCAATCTAACCAACTAATAACAAATCAAATATGATTTTTCTTACATTTTCTTACCATCTGAATAAATATGATCAATTTCCTTAATGTTCAATTGATAATATATTTCACAACTTTTCAATCATTTCAACCATTTGTAGATTAACCACAAATTCAAACAATCAAAAAATCACACCAAATCACAACAAAAAAGATCACAACAATCACATTTCATAAACCAAAGTAACCAAAACCAAAGAAAAAAAAACATCAAACAGAAAAGAACCAAACAGAAATACATAAATTGGAACAAAAAAACAATTGAATTTTTGATTCTTCTTAAGATTCTTATATATGTATATGTATATATTTCATATTTCATATTTAACCTTTCAGAAAAAAAACCCATTCTCAACCCAATCCCAACCCAATCCCAACCCAAAAAAAACCTTTCAAAAAAAAGAAAGAAAACAATTTTCAAATCATGTTTTTTTTTGGTGTGAAAAGAAACCAAAAAAAAGAAAATCATCATTTATGAACAAAGATCCTATACAATTCCTTTTCTTTTTCTCGATTCACCATCGATTCAGCCTCAATCTCAATCACATTCAATCCTTCCCAAATCTCAACCAAGAACCGATCATTCGGATCTCTCACAATCCTACCTGTCGTCGAACCTCTACATCTAAAGATCGTTTCTCCATTTGACTTAGAAGCAGAAGACGATGATGATCCAACTGATACTCTAATCGCTTTCGTATTAGATGGTAAATGAATCGCATGTTGTCTTACATAATCATTCTTCATTTCGATTTCTAATGTAGTAGCTGGTATGGTGATCAATTTAAAAGAGTTGATCACTATCATCATAAGTGTTTCATAAGTTCATCAGTACAAGTTTCATGTTTTTGATCTGATGTGAAAAACAAAACATCTTTCAACTTACATGAGCCATCCACTTCATTAGGAATTTTCACGTTCACTCTTCCTTGTGATTGTGGTAAAGGTGGATGTTGTTCAAAATGATTTCCCATCAATGCTGGTGAGATCTCATGTGCCAAGCGTGATAATGGTCGAGCAGGAAGTGATGGAGGAAGATGTCGACCCATGGATGGAATAGATGGTGGAATGATAGGCAAACTAGGCGGTCTAAGTGGACTAGGAACACGCGCAGGTGGAATGATCGATGGAGTAGGTTGACGAGATGGTGATCTAGATGCACTACGCAGCACTCGATCTACTGCTGGAGCCGGTGACGAAGCTCTGGGTGGAATAGAGGGGACTGGTACTGCTTTAGGAAGTGAGTTAGCGATTTGAGCTAATAATGTTGGTTGGTGTGCGATTGGTAGACCTTGAAGGTAAAACGAGTTAAAGTCAGGTCGAGATACTCGAACAAGGAAAAGCAGGTTAATTAATGACATACCATTGAGAATGGCGGGAGGTATCGCCACAGGAGCAGGTAAAGCAACCGGGTTTAAACGAGGAGAAACACGACCAGCTAATACTGGAGGAGTCAGATTAGGTACTGCAAGCGGTTGACTAGGAATCGCAGATTGAGGAGCAGGTGTTGATTTTTCTTTTGCTACCGCAGCTTGCTGAGATTGTCGCTCTTGAGTTTTCTTATAAGGTCCTCGTAAAACTGGTTCAGGAAATTCTGCAGGTGCATCACTGATCAATTCGGCAAACTTTTGCTGTTTTATCAATCAGGTTTGAAAGTCTATCAGTAATCATTGATTAGAAGAGGTGTGAGATGATCGAGTTTTCACTAACCTCTAAGATTTTGGAGTCGTTCCATACTATCGATCCATCTTCATTGAAATGTTGAGCGTTTTTAAAGATCAATTGCACATCTGCTTTGAAACTATCTAAATCTTTATATGCTCGCTTATCATTTTTGCCCTGTTTCCAAAAAAAACCATCAGTACATACGCATCATCGAGAATCTGAGTAAAGCGATCACTCATTTACCCTAACGTTCTCGAATGCGATAGGACTTGGGATCACCGCATAGTACTCTTTCCAAACCGATTTATCAGGTAAAGTCTGAAACTCTTCCATCAATCGCCTGCCAGTCTGAGGGTCTCGAACCTCTTCGAGAGCTTTTAGACGAGCCTTGATGAACGCTTTCAGGGTGACATCTCTTCTAGATGATGTAGAGTTGGATGGCTTGGGTGAGTGGATAGAGTTAGACTTTGTGGCTGATCTCAAGACTTCTTGAGGACTTGGTTTGACTGGAAGAGATTTGTTGTTGACAGGTGGTGTAGAGCCGACTGGAGGACCGTTAGAGATAGGTAAGTTGACATTGGGAATAGATTTAGGATCAGATGGAACTGGAGGAGTCGAGTGTCGAGCAGTTGTTTTGATCTTCAATTTGATCTTCTTTTGCTTGGGTTCACTATCAGAATGTTGTGCTTCATCGTTAGATTGTGGTTGAGGTTCAGTGGAGGTCAATTGACGAAGTTCGCGTTTCAAAGTTTTCTATGCAAGTTGATTGAAATTAGACTTGTTGAAATCAAAAATGATAAGATTTCAAAGATCTGATGAAACTTACAAGAAGAGTCCGAGCATCATCATAAATCATACTATCCTCTACATTATATTTTTTCGCGTTATTAAAGACCAGTCTCATATCGGCAATGAATTTTTCTTGAGTAGGATAAACGAATTGATCTAATTTTTGTTTGATTTGATTGAGAGAGAGTGGACGTTTGATCCATTGATAGTAATCAGGATATTCGGTCGCAGATGGTAAATCCATGAAAGCTGTCGATCTGAGTCTTCCACTGAGAGATGATAAGTTGAGAATGAGAATGAAGTTAAGATGAAGTTGAGATGAAAAGTTAGACTTACTCTTGATCAGTGGTGTTGACGAGTGTGTTCCAAAGGGTGAGAGCAGTAGAATGAAATGAGAGATCGTCTTGAGTAGTTGATGCTGATACTGATGTGGGTGGTGGTGGAGGTGGTCTGAGTCGAAGAGTGAGCTGAAAAAGAATTCATGATTAGTCAACTTGAATGAATGCGGTGGTGAGATGTTGTTGATTTTGATTTGATTACCTTTTTTGAAGTAGTGGTAGTAGTGATATTAGTAGTGTTTGGTGTTGGTGAATGATTTCTTTTTAGATTAGGTTGAGTGATTCGAATTCTAGTGGGTGGTAAAGAAGAAGGTAAATTCTGTTGACTTGAATCGTTTCCCATTTGATTGGAGAGTAGAGTAGATTACTATTTCTATTTTATATGTTTTGAATTTTAAGTGATGACTTAAATAATTGATGATTTGATTTGATTTGATATTTCTGTAGTGTTGTGTTGTGTTGTGTTGTGATGGTGGTTGTAGTTTGAAGTTCTTTTGTTCTTTTATTTCTTCTGGTGTGTTTTGAATTTTAAATTTCTTATATTACTTTTGCTAAAAAGGAAGCCCGGGGTGAAAAAAATAAAAATAAAATGTAGCCCAGAATTTCACCGCAGTCACTGCAGTGGGCATATGTACAGCAGCAGACACGGTCAGAGATTTTGCAGGTGCAGCCCCGCCTCCAATCTCGACCAATTTGATTCAGCTCCTTCAAGAGAGCCTGCCAGCAACCATAAATTTTCATACTTGTCTTCTCAATGGGGTTCCGTAAATATTCAGCTGATATCAAAGTGCTTGCTGTTCGCTGGAGTCTTCAAGGAATTCCAAGATCTTTAATCCGACAGCGACTCAGCAAGCGGATTTCTCGCCGATCCTTTGGCCGATGGATCGAGCTCTACAACCTAACTCGTGCAGTCATACGCGATCCCGACACCTACGAACGCCGTGGTCGGCGCCAGCACTTGAATGCCACGGATCGCAAATTCATGGAAGAATTGGTCCTCGACCAGCCAGCACTTTTCCTCGACGAGATTCAAGAAAAACTTTACAATGCACATGGGAAGATGCCTTCCATAAGTACCGTTCATCTCGAACTTATGAGCCGTCTTATGATAAGCTTGAAGAAGGCCTGTGTCAGTAACGCTCGGAAATCCCTGATGCCAAAATTGACATGGATGCGCGATATGATGGGCTATCCATCCAACTTCTTAGTTTTTACAGGTCAGTCCAATTTCACTTTCTATCTCATATCTTCTGTATTGAAATCCTCTACCTGCTCACGAATTGCAGACGAGAGCGCAGTCTGTGGACGGGATCTACTACGAAAACGTCAGCGAAGCAAGATTGGAGTACGCACCACTCGCAAGGTTCCTAAGATGCATCAAGGACGGTATTCCCTCCTTCCAGCCATCACTTATGATGGCTTGCTGGCTCTTTCAGTTCTTGAGGGGCCGGTGAATCGGAAGCGATTCGAGAAATTTTTGAAATACAGCTTAGTATGTGGTTTTCCCTTTACTTCAATAGCCATTGTTCCAGACTGACCTCAATCCCATGTACAGCTTCCTCGCATGAATCGATTTCCAGCAGACAATAGTGTCTTAGTACTGGACAATGCCTCAATCCATCGTGGTGGATCGATTTCTGACCTCTGTCGTAAGAGAGGTATGTCTAATCTCATCATCTTTCCTCGGTCATGTTTTCATTTCCCTGACTCAAGCGGGACAAATTAAACTTTAGGAATTCTTCTTCGTTACTTACCACCATACTGTCCTGAGTTGAATCCAATTGAACTCGGATTCAATGCCTTCAAATTTGACCTCCGAAGATCACAAGTATTGGCGACTAGGACTAACCCAATTGGACCAATACGAAGGGCTGCCCATAAGACCTTTGGACCCGAACTATTACCTAAGTTATACCACCATTGTGGTTATCGCACATTTGATGAAGTGCTCGATTGTAGAATGGAAGAAATATGATACTTTTCAGCCAATGAGGTATGAGACATTCGTTTGTAGCTTTCAAGTTGTTTAGCTCAGTGGATTGATTTCCTTTCAAATCATCTTTTTAGCTCATATGATTCATTTCCTTTCAAATCATCAAGATCGACCTTTTCATGGACCGAGTCTTTCTTTGGTGCGACTACACTTCAGGGAATCCTTGGATGAAGTTTTAAAGAAATGAATTTAAATCCAGATCAACTTTGGTTTAAAGAACACGTTTATGGCTCGAAGATCTTCTCGACAATAGTGAATTCGAATCAATCGATCTCAAGTTTATTAATTTACTTTCATTTGTTGATTTCAACTTTCTTGACTTTCTTCTTGGCTTACAAGTCTTCAAGGAAATTGATCGCTTCACTTGGCTTTGGTTTTTCGATTTCATTTTCACTTTATCTTTTGATCGTTAACTTCGTTGGACTAGATGGGATCACAGGGATATATTCGGCTTATTGGAAACAATCTTTGGTGCGACTACACTTCAATATGAGTTACATACGTCAAATCGATCAGCTTCAGATCACATCTAAATCTCCCAATCAAATTGAATCGATCCAAAGTCCTCAAATCCAATCCCATCAGTCCTGTACATTCAAATCATCATTCATTTCAAGAAACTATCGAACCAAATCAAAGTGATTCAATCGGTGGATCTAGTTTTGTCCTTAATTTACATACTAGTAGAACTATAGTAGAACTATGATTGTCTAGAGCACACTTTTGAATGAAATTTAAAAATAACAGTTTGCTCTTTTGGCTGAGCCCGATATACATAAGGCACAACTTAGGTGGATCTTTAGACATTCAAATGGGCTAAGAGCACCATCTGCTGATGAGAAAGTTGGAAGAAAGTTGTGATTAAGCTATTCAAATGGGCTAAAATCACCGTTATCCTTGTTTTGTTGAGTGTGATGTAAGAAAGATCAGATCGAGCTGAAAAATTGACTCGATCCTAGGGCAAAAGATACACATCATGTCCAATCAAGAGTCAAACTTGATGTCTTGAAATCATCCAGATCGAGCTTAATTTGAAGCTCGATCATTTGAGTCTAATTGTCTTTGAGGGCACAGATAGAGCAGATCGAGCTGAAGATTCAGCTCGATCCTAAGACAATCAAAAGTCACTTGGTGGCGACTTCAGAGGGAGAGATCTCTGTCTCCAAATCACCATGACCAAGCTTTGTTTGAAGCTCAATCATGTAAACTGGTGTGAGGCAGGGTCAGAGGACCATGATTCTAACAAATGGTACGGTTATATTACTTTTAAAACTGTAGTCTTAATATTACCCACTAATCACAACAATAGAGGGTCAAAATCTAATCAGTAATGTAAAGCCAGGATTAAAACATTGAAGTGCGCCTTGCTTTCCGAGCGGTACTGCGTTCACAGGTCCTGTTACTTATATACTTCCGAGAATCTAAGTAGAGCATAGTGATTGAAGCCTTGGACAATCCATGTTGAGCTAGATCCGCTCGAGATAAATGTTCTTCTGTGATCATTCTATGGTCGGTGATTTCCGCTTCTTTTAAAATCTGGCGAATGTGGTCTTTTCTATCATCTGGTAAAGTGCAGAACTGAAGGAATCCTTCGGTTCCATTTGCGGCGGCGGGATCATATGACAAAGGTGAAGATGACACATGAGGAAATGATTCGGGTGTATTCTTTCGTTTATGAGAAGCATGTGGAGTTGTAGGTGGCTCGACATCGCCAGCTAGTTGCTTTTGAGGTGATCGTACTGCTTCACCAATGGCTCCCGCGAGGCCAACAACAAGTTGAGTGATAGCGGCAGGGGTGAAACTATTGGATTCAGACTTTTCAGTTGATGAAGCGGGAGGTTTGTTTTCGACCTTCTTGCTGAGGTCATACTTGAAATGGGCGGGAGGGGTATCCATGCTAACCTCATCTTGGTTCTTGCAAATGATACACCCAAAAGTCAGCTTACATAGGTAATGAAGAGAGGCATTCAACTTACTCGTAGCCTAGCCCACTCTTCTGCTTTATCAAGCGTCAAAACAAAGTATTGAGTGGAATCGGTTGGATCTGTCACAATCGGACACCTTTTGTGGTAGCGACCGTCCATCTTGTGGTGGTCAAGAAGGTCACTCGCAAACTTGTTCTCGCGATCGCCAGCCGTTTGTTCCGTATTGTCTGATCCACCGTCAGACTTTGGGTTTGAGATCAAATAAAGACACATCAGTCTAGTTTGAGAAAAGGAGTGGTTAGTAGACCGATAATCTCACCTCTTCAGAGTCAAACAAATCCTTGTCGATTCCTTGTTTCACCTGAAGCTTGTGCTTGCGCTCAGCTGAAGCCACAATTAGCTCGGTGCGAGCAGCCTGAAGAAATTCAAAAACAGATGAGACATAATGAGACCCCCTGGCTTGAGATAGGGCGGACTCACTTTTTCAGCTTGAGCTTTGACCTTGTTTGGATGAGGTGCAAAGTAGCTGATCCCAGCTTCCCGACCTGGAAACACAGCTTCGCCCTCTTCGACCCATTGTTGAACCTTCTCTGAACTTAAATGCTTTCGAGCCTTAAGAGTCTTTGGGAAATCAGAATGTGATTTGATGTACCAAGTCCACACACCAGGGTTCTTCTTGCTATTTGATGAAAGCTTGATCAATTTTTCAAGGGACTGCTTGTTGTCCTTGGCAAATTCAGCGCATTTTTCTTTGAGTTCCTCCAAATCAAATTGCTTCGAATTCCAAGGGATTACACATTCAGAGCATGAGATCTGTGAAAATCCTGACTTAGCCGTCTTGCAAGGAACCCAAAATTCACACTCGAAGTAGAAGTGATATGCAGTGTTTTCTTCATTGTCTTGTTTATTGTTGATATTGGGCTGTGGGCTCTGTAAGATTTGGAATAGTCAAAGATGAGTATGTTGGATAATGGACATGATAGGTGGAAAAAAGCTTGAAAACATCACCTGAACAGTCACAGAGTCCGGGGAATCAACATTGACACCTTCATTGGCCAGTGGATTGGATGGGGAGGAACAATCAAGAAAGATTGGGTTGACGTGCTGATCCTTTGATTTCATGATTGAGTTCTGAAAAAGAATGAGTGGTAAGGGGATTGGCAAATTTGGGATAGGCAATGCGGCTGCTCAAGCTCCAGGCCCACCGCAGTGACTGCGGTGAAATTCTGGGCTACATTTTATTTTTATTTTTTTCACCCCGGGCTTCCTTTTTAGCAAAAGTAATAATAGGCTGCTGCTGATTTCTTCTTCACTTTGAACTTCAACACTGCTCTTTTTCTCTCGGTTGACAATTTTAGTACGGTCTGCTATTACACAGTCTATCGAGCGAGAAATTCAGTCTAAAACCTCGGGTCAATACTCAGGCTTTTACCGGTCAAAACTACCTAATCTCACTTAGCTCTCTAAATCAACCCATACAAAGCTCTAAATTCAAACATCAATCAAACTGAAACGATGTGAAAAAGGATTTCACCTTTCATTCAACCTCAGCTTTTGTTCAACTTACATCGTCATCATCTATCTTGAACATATTTATATTCAAATCAAACCAGAGCTCAAAAAGCGCTCAACATAGGTGGTCGTGATCAGCTCGATTTCATTCGAAACTGATGGTTTCTACGAGATAATTTACATTTGTTGGGTTTCATCATGAACCACTCAGATGTGTTCAAGAATTAGATGAGTTTTGGGTCAAAGATCCAATTAGGGGATACAAAGTTGAAATCCGGCCAAAAATCTGGCCACGTGGCCAGATTTCCAGATTCCATTTTTTTCTGGCCACGACTTGAAATTTGGCAAAAAGAGAAATCAACAGGTCACTGGCCAGTTCTCACGTCACAATCAACTCAACTCAATCGACTCAATTAATCTCAATATTTACTCCTCTATAACACCACTTATTAAATTATGACTAACTCCAATACCCTCTCATCAGATACCACCAACCCTTCTTCCGAAGGGGATGTCGAAGTTCTCTCTGGATCTCATTTGACACCAGGCACCCTACAACTCGATCCTTCCACCCTCAGTCAAGTGCTAACCGGAGCGATTCAACTTGCGCAATCAGGAAATTCAGCAAACAAGACAACCAAGTCATCTCAGAAGATGCGCTCAAAAAAACCTCCACCAAAACCGCGTGCTAAACGAACACCTGCAAAAGCTTCTCCTACTCCTAAGTCAAAACCTAAAGCCAAACCTCGTAACTCAAAGTCAAATAAGTCCAAGAAGACCGACAAAAATCAACACGACGATGATAAGTTGACGTCTTCTGACGAAAATGCTGATGAAAATCACAAGACTACTGTTCATTGGGATAATGATGATAATGGCGAGGGAAAATCTTTGATGTACTTACTTATCAATTGGCTCACGGACGAAGACAACTTTACTAGATTCAAAACTAATAAAACAGAAAAGCGAGGTTCAGCTGAAGAGATCGAGGAGTACTTAATCAAGAATGGCATCTTATGGCGAGATGCAACTGCAATTAAAAAAAAGGGTACTTTCATACTTTAGATTTGATCCTTCCCGACTTCAAAGCTTGCTCAAGATATTTGAATTCGAATTCCAGATCGGACGTCTAGAGGTCGCTTGGCGTCGTGCTAACGATGTACGTAACCAAACTGGTTCTGGAAGCTGGAACACGTGCAAAGAAAGGAAGGCGATTGAGGGCTTGGCAGATGATGATCCGAAATGGCTCAGTATGGAGAAGGTGGCTCTTGGTAAGCATCAATTTTCATGAGGCGATGAGTTTGTTTTTTTGAGTCTGATCGCTCTCATATGTACAGCACCCATCTTGAAGAAGTGCAAGTATTATTTTGAGTTGGAGCCTGTTTTTGAGACACGACACGGTAATACGAGGCTTGCCGCGTCTCATAGTTTACTTGATGAGGGTGAAGAAAACTTCACTCAAAGCCAGCGTAATTCACGGGAGCATTCAGTGAACTCTAATTCGGCGTATCAAGAATATCATAACAACGATGATCACTTGGAGCGTGACCCTTTCGATGACTCTCTAAACTCGAACTTAGCTCATAAAGATGATCATTTACCTCATGAAGATCTTCTTGATGACTTAGATGATGATATTCCGCAAACGTTTAAAAACAATAATGACGATCTTGAGGAACTTATCAACTCAAATCCTATCACACCTTCTCGACCATCTCAAAGCCGATATCAACGTCCGATTTCATCCACCTCAATGAAACGAACATCTTCAAAAGCTTCTTTACCCCCAGCAAGTCAAGTGATCCCAAGCAAACGTGCCCCGAATCGAAAGTCAGGCTCGGCTGATTCGATTCAGGACCTCATTCAAAATAACCCATTAGATGCTCAATTGGATAGTATTCAAGCGCCTGTCTCACAGCAGGCAAGTCAAGCGTTAAGTCACTTGTCACGTTTAGCTGATAATGTGGCTATCACTATGTTACCCGACAAACCTACATTAAACGAGGACGACTCTAAGAAAAAGGCCAAAATCGAACTTGAAATGGCTGATGTTCAATTATCAAGCGAGAAGAAGAAACTTGAAGAACATGATTTCAACTTGTCATCGAAGAAAGAAAAGCATTTGCTTGAAATGCAAAACTACAAAGCCGAGCTTGAACATCAACAAATTACTAGGAATGCTCAACTCATCAGCATGTTGATGAGGGAAAACAATTGGACACTTCAGGAAGCTATGATCGCGGCTCAAACTGCACAAGCGATGCAGCAATCGTCTTCAAGTAAATGATTAAAACGTGAGCTTTTCGCCTATTGGTCTCAAGAATTACTCAACACCGATCTGATTTATCTTTGGTTAATCTGAATTTTTCAATCGGGATAGGTTAAAGTAATTGGATAGTCTTATATTTTTGAAAAAAATCGAAAAAATTTCACCAATTGTTTGAATTATATAAAATCCTTAAAAAAGTATTGAAAAAAAAAGAAAATGTTTGAAATATACAAGATCTTAAAGATACTAATTGATTACTCATCTATTAGAAGTAATTATATCAAATCCAAGTATTGAAAAAAAAAAGAAATGTTTGAAATATACAAGATCTTAAAGATACTAATCGATTACTCATCTATTAGAAGTAATCAATGCTCATCTATTATCAAAAAATATGAAAAAAAAGGCAAGATATTTGTATCTAGGTACTCGAAGTCTTTCACGAGATTGAAAATGAAATTTGTTGAAGTTTGATAATTGTCTTTTGTCAGAACAAAGTTGAAAATTAAAGAAACTTGTATATAATAATAAAAATGAAATCGTTTGATGTTTGTTATTTCAAAGTAGCTTAAGAAAGCAACTTATTACCTTTGAGAGAACAGACTTGCAGTTGCTCCGATGCCCTCTATGAACAGATAAAGGATTCCTTCTAGGAATAAATTTCATTATCATCATAAATCGTATCAATTCTAATTAACAAGTTGTGCTTAATTAGAATAGACATATGTAAGTAAGTAGCCTGATCACCATTAATCTATCTCTCTTGAGGCTATGAATTCTGCAAACAGATGGTTCCTTCTTGACTCATCTCTACCTGATCTCATTAGCCATTCTTCCTCTTCAAAAGTAGGTGCATTCTCTGGTGTTTCCTGACGTCGAGCTTCGTTTCGAAGTCCGTCAGATACACTACCAAGCACACCTGACCACTCCTCTCGAATTGATATGAGGAGGTTATGCAAAACTAGGCATGCTCGAATCCATCGATTTGCTCGCACGGCCGATGCAGCATCACTGATGACCAATCGGAGTTCCTTCAGTGATTGAAAACGGCCTTTGAGCATCCCGTTGCAGTGTTCGATAATGACTCGCACAAAGCTGATCTCTTTATTGAATGCTTCTTCATCACGTCGCAGACTGTGACCTCGACACCGTTTAAGACATGGTATGATGATTTCTGAGACCGTGTATCCCGAATCGGCCAAAAGGTATTCTCCCGGCGAAAAGAATCGTTCTGGAGATTCAAAGAGCTTTATTTAGAACAATGAAGGCAATTAATGAGTAGGTCAAAAACAAAGATAAGGTAAAAATGTGTTGAGATAAATGTGTATGTACTCACTTGCGAAGACCGGAAGACACGTTGGTCGTGTACACTACCACACCAACCCAATTCGTAATAAATCACTTGACGGTGTATATCACATACCAGCATGGTATTGAGTGCGTAAAACATCTTCCGTGTCCAATAATCCTCGGGTGTTTCACGTGGGGCTGTTGCAAGAGGAATAAGAGTTCCATCTACAAACCCCACGCAGTCTTTGAAGAAGGATTTGTTGCGGATTTCTTCTTTCAGAGCTGCTCGACGTTGTTTTGAAGGCCACCAAAGATATCTCGGTTCTAAATCAAGGACTGCAGTAATTAAGCGATTGGTCCAATTATGAACGCTCCCTTCTGTGAAGAGAGTGTTAAAGATATTAGAATTCACTGATCAGTCAAGTTGTACATATACGGAAACTGTCTCACCAGAGCAATTGAACAATCGAGCGAGATGATAATGGTCTCCACCATTTCCCGAAGTGCCTAGATTAGTCAGCCCAACCAAAGTCTGCCACCACACGGGTGCTTGCTTCATCTGTGAGTTATTATGGAATATTGGATTGTCTTCGATCAAGTCAACAAGGTGATTGAAAGCCGACTTGGACATTTGTGCCTGTCATCAAAAATTCCGAATAAGTATGTGAATAAATTCGTGCATCATGATCCTACGTACTAGCTTTATGAAGCCATCGCCACCTTCCTCCAACACTTGCAAAAACCAAGCATTTCTTAACTCCTTACGACCTCGTGAGATGCGGGTGAGAACAAAGCGTTTCTGATTTAGAATTCTGAGGGCGGTGTCGAGAACTTCAAGCTCGGTGATTGCTCGTCTCCGGAGTTGATGTCCAAAGTGAAGAATTTTGTTGCTCTGATCAATAGCAGGTATTAACTTGATAAGACCAACTAGATACAAAAAACAAGCCTTCTTTTGATTCTCGTTGGTAACAGCAAGTTGTTGAATTTTTAAAGCTTGAATCATCCGGAAGAAAAACTGAAGCCCGGCAATATCGAGTTGAAAAGCTGCAAGTGAATCCAAATTGTTCTGAGCATACACTTTTCTTGCATGTCGTGCTGTTTGAATAGATCTCTTGAGGGCTGATTTGCGAGTAAAACGAGGCATTGGTTTTCTGGTAAGTGAAGTGAGGGCACGTTGTCAATATGGGAAGTGGATGTGTGAGGCGGTGTGGTGGAAAGTGGTCATGGTATCTGGCCTTCGGGGGATTCAAAGTTGAGAAAATCCGGCCGCGTGGCCAGATTTCAAATTACCGCAAAAAACGAAATTTGGAAATCTGGCCACGTGGCCAGATTTGCGGCCGGATTTCAACTTTGTATCCCCTAAATGAATTTGATGCTCAACCAGGTCCAATCCATTAATTTGTGCTCAAAATTAGAGGAAGTCAAACGGAAAAAGGCGCGAGCTACCGCTTTAGAAAAAAACCGCTATTCATCTATCCAACTTGGCGGGGTTCAAGTTGACCAAATTGAAAAAATGCCAAAAATTTTGGGTAGTTTACCTCCCAGCCCATCAAACTTGTTTTTTTTGCGCTGGAAAAGGTACCATGAAGTGTGGTCCTTACCTCCCTCAGTGTTTGTTGATAATTTAAGCGAGATTTTGATGCAAGTGGATCTTCCTATCAATATCTTTGAATCTAAAATGAAGGTGCGTAAGAAACAAGTTCCAATATATCCACAAATTTGTTCAACATCATATCCATAGTGATGGGTCAAAGAAACATCTCTTACAGGAATAGAGAAGTATGAGATTGTCTTCTCCCCCAAACCACGTAAAAGAGATCAACCCTTTCAATGTAAGGGCACTCTGCTCAACATCTGTCTACGAGGTAGCTGTTACAGCTTGTCTATAAGCGTATATACTGTGGTCTTATCATGTGTTATGATAAAATCAAACTGAGGCAAGCTGAAGTCTAGATTCAAACTGTGTAGAAAATCCATCATGGCAAGTTGAAACTAAACATTTGACCTTCAAGGTGTGGATCTTGACGAATAACCATACATTTTCCAATGGAAAAACTCTCATCAATCCACATATTCAACTTACAAGAGATTTCAACTCACTCGTCTCTCAAAATGTGGTTTATGGAATTCATCAAACTTTGCATTCAGCTTGATTAATTCTTTTGGTGAAGTTCATTATCAACGAGATCTTATCATTTGAACTTTCTTCCAATGTGATTCTAGATGCTAAGTAAAGACAAACATTATCAACATTTAGTGAACACATTTTCCTAGTACGTTCTGATCTGTCGTTTTGATCTGTTTGATCAGGTTAAGACTCGCTTGATGACCTTGCTTCTCAACTTTTCATGAATTGATACTCAGTCCTTTCAATACCTTTAGCGGAGTGGATCTGAATTCCTTTAAGGTCTTGAAGAAAACTCACCGCGCTTGATCATTGAAACACAGTTTACTCTTTCGGGTAGTCTTCTTACCCTTCTTTCTTTTCTGATATTGAGCGCGCGAGTTTCCTTTACGTTCATCATCTTCAGCTTCCCGATGAATCCTCATACTTTGAGTTTGTATGACGCTCAACCCAACAAGTTGATACATGGTCATTGGTGGCCCTAGAATCAAACCCCTTCTTCTGCACTAATTCTTAAGCTCCTAGGAAGCTTTTCAACCCATTTTAACTCTGGTTCGTACTTGAGATCTATCTTTAATGCCTCAAGTTAAAGGGTTTGAAATCGATCAATGTAGGCATCTGCAGCTCTTTCGGTCCCGGATGGTCACAAAGTAAACATTTTAAATCAATGCGACATTTCGATTTTTGAACTGAGGGCATTCTAATCTGAACTTGAGGTCATCATGCACGCGAAAGAGATGATATGGTTGAAGTTGAAGTGGATGAAAGCGGAGTTGCAATTGGTGTTTTTTCAACCTCCCTTTCGACTTCAGAAGTTCAGATATGTGAATGGGTTGTGACAGCTATCCACCCGAAGAACCTGTCCGTGACATGGCTCCGTCATCGATCCAGGCTCCAGGAAGGAAGGAGAATTGAAAGTTGAAGCGAACCTCGACCATTGGATCCATATATGTTTGATACACTCTTTCAAGTCTTTCAAGCGCTCTATCAACAATCTGACTATACATCGATAACCAATGAATTCGAGTGAACTAAAGCAAGATCTTTATCCATTCGAAATCTTACGAACAGTAGATGAAGTAAGAAAATGGGTAAATCAAGCACGATCAAATCAACAAACTATTGGTTTTGTACCTACGATGGGATGTCTTCATGAAGGACATCTTCAATTAGTTAAACATTCAGTATCTTCAACTCATCGAACCATTGTTTCGATTTTTCAGTAATCCAACTCAATTCCGTGAAGGAGAAGATTGTAATACGTATCCTTAAACGATTGAATCAGATTTAACTGTACTTTCTAAACTTTCTATTCAACCTAATTCAATGAACATTCCTACTTATCTTTGATGGAACTTCAATCGATTCTCAAAACTTATCAACTTCAAAAACATCAGACCAAATGCATCGAAAAGTCTCAGCAGTCTTCTTACCAACCGAAGAAATCATTTATCCAAACGGATCTAAACTCACCACAATAGTAGATGTTCAATCTTTATCAAACTTATTAGAAGGAGAAAGAAGACCAGGGTTTTTTAAAGGAGTAGCCACAGTAGTGATGAAGTTTTTTTCTATGATTGAACCTACTTTAGCATTCTTTGGTCAAAAAGATTTACAACAAGCTATTCTTTTAAGAAGGATGAAATCAGATTTACATTTGAATTATCCTAAATCTTTGATTATCATTCCTACCGTTAGAATGGAATCGAAATTAGCATTGAGTAGTAGAAATGGATATCTTTCTAAAGAAGAACTGGATAAATCGATTTGTTTGTTTAATGCACTTTCTAAGGCTGCTAGTTTTACTCAACCTTTATCAATTGATTCGACTATCAGTTTTGAAGAACTCGAAACCATCGCAAAGGAAACCGTGGAGAAATATGAAGGAATCAAGCTTGAGTTTTTTTCAATCAATGATCCGATTTCTTTCAAAATGTTAGATACTATCAAACCTTTACAACCAATAGCACTCTCTGGCTCAATTCTGGTTGGCGATAGACCAGTTCGTTTGATTGATAATCTAGTCTTTCATCACGATCTCAATAACGGTCTGAAATACGATCCTTCAACTTAACCATTGGAAGTTGATGGGAAGTATTATGCCATGATCTCGTACGTTATAGGTAGTCATAAATGCATAGTAGATTTACAAAATTCTTATCAAAGATAAGTTGCAGCTTTCAAGAGTAGCAGACAATGCGAGTGAAAATAGATAGTGACAAAGATGGTTGAAAGAACTAGTGTAAATAATAGAATGAAATATGTATATAAGTATCTATTTATGTCATATACTGTCCAGTGTTCTTGATTCAGTTTTCAGTGTTGGACAAATGTAGCATTCGTGGATTGCATTCACAAAGCCTATCTTCCTCATCAATAAAGTTCACTTGCCCCCTTGACCCATGTTTTCTTGCAGGAATATCTTACACCTGCCCAAAGCTCCATATCCCAGGAACTCTGATTAGCAAACCCATTGGGATGGGTTGATTATTTTGAGTGGTCCGGCCTTTAGCACAAAACGCTCACCAGCTAGTTGTGGCCAGCATGAGCTGCAAAACTAATTGGTTTTGTTTGAATCAATTTGATGCTAATTAACTATCAGACTTTGTAAATCCTTTATCCAGGCTATGCATACACAGCCTTGATAATGGGACATGAAAGTTTGTAAAACAACTACAAGGATATGTAGATCAGTTGTCAAATCATATTTGCACAGCTTGATGAAGAAGCCAATTAATGAAAAAAAATACTTCGCATGCAGAAAGCATTGATGGAAAACTTCAGGTCAATGTCATTATCAAGGAGAGTGTGGCATGAAGATAAAGTATCCAATCAGACTTGATCCTTGAAGGCCTTACATTAAAATCCAGTGATCAGCCTTGATATCCTCTGCAATGGTGTAGACATGACCACACGAGATAGGCTTTGAGACTTGATATAATAAATTGATTGTAAAGTCAGTAGCAAAGAAAAGTAAGAAGATAGAAATACATGCATGAAGAAAGATGCATTCTTAATTTTGAAGGCTTGCTATGAAATACTCCTTGACTTCTACACCTGGTCCCCATCCAATGCTTTCATGTATGAAGATTGGTAGAGTACTTTGAATGCTCCTTGAATTGGAGTTGAAGCACCCACACTGGCAGATCAAGTTGGATTTGGTAATTTTGGATTTGATCAACCTCATCATATTCACGCACCAATCATTTATTACCATACATCAGGTACATACCACAGGGTTTTTAAAACTTGTACCAATCAAAACACTCACCTTCCATGATTTTCTCACCTCTGGACTTCATCCTTATTTTGTTTTTTCAATTTGAGTGACGCAAGGGATGACACAAAAAGCTTTAAACAAATGTGTATGCTCTTACAATTGTCAAAGGAAAATTCTAGATAGATATTATGGTGAGACCTAGATTAGGGAAAAAGAGTTTGGAACCTTAAAGGAGTTTGATTCAGGTTGGTTTTCTCTGGTTTTTCCAAGCTTGATCCAAGATTTATCTAGATAGATATACAGTCAGACTAAACTTTATAAGAGAAGAAATCAAAATACTTGATGAACTCAAACATTGCTTCATAATCAAATGTTGTAGTGACTATATTGATTCTTACAACATGTTCATCATTTTTGAATCTGCGGAGATAATCTGTTGATATACCATCCCAGTACCTCAAAACAAAAACATCCTATCAAACATGATTACATTCATTAAAAACAAATCATACATCTTGACATCAAACTTGCAATTGTCCTGATAGCTTATTCAGTTAGGGCTTATCAAAACATTGGTAAGTCTGAGATCAAGATCAACAATTTGTTTACAATGAATGTGATCATGTTGTCCATGTCCAATAAACACCAGTTTGTTTATGACTCTAGGATAGTATGTCAGTGAAGCATTTGTTTGTTTGAGGCTAAAATATATCTCTGTTGGTTCTTGGTTGTAGACTTCTTGGGGCTTCACAAAGGCTTGAAGTTGATACAAGAGATTATGACATGTCTTCATATTGGGAGAATTTTGCTGAGAGAATTTGATGGTGATATGCTACACCACCACCTATGAAAGGCAAGAATGGGGATAATATAAACTTCAGCGTCTGAGGAATAATGATCAGATTACTATGACATATCCAACCTAAAGATACACTGGATCCTAATGCTTGGTTTGCCTTTGGAGGCTTCAATTACAGAACTACTGGTAAACATCCCTTCAACAAGAAGCAAAGGATCATTACAGTCTGACATTGAATTGCTGCTAGGAGCAGTAGTATTGGTGAGGCAAGATTTGCTAGATGTCATGACGAACTGGGCTAATGTCAATGAGATGCAAAGATTATGCTTGATGTGAAGAGTTGCTAAGTACGAAACTAGGCAGTATTCCTCGGAGGATGTGATGTGTATAAACTTATAAAGACGAAGATTTGAAGCTCCAAAAAAGATTTCCTGCATATAGCCCAAGCAATATCCAAAAAAGATTACTGATAAAGTAAAAATGAAGAATGGTGTGTGTTCGAGTTTTGAAAAGACGAGTCTTAACTAGAGATACACTGATGAGATGGGGAAAGGAAATTGATAGGAAACTTGGACAATAATTAAGGAGACGATGAGGGTACAGGTCCATCGTGAGTTCTCGCTCACTGCTTATATTTTTGCCACCAAACTCGCAGCCTTCGGAACCCCGTCGAAATTCGTCATAGGACGTTGCATCAGGGTTTCTTCCATTTGACCATCCATTGCTGGACGATCCTTCACAAGGTATTTGGTTGCGGCTGTGAGCTCATGAGTCATAATTCATCAGTTGATCAGCGGGGCGCGAGAGTAGACTGTCGCGCACTCCTTGCGTGCCTCCTTCCTGCGCTTTGAATGAAAGAGAGTACAATCTAGTTCAATCTGATTCCCGATAATTTCCTACCGAACAACCAATCAAACCAACAACAACAACTACTGCTAACTATAACTTACTTACTTTCATCGAATCGATTATCGAGGGATGTAGCAAGATACAAGCTCATTCAACTTTTAATATTCAAAATCATTCTCAATCTCACTTCTCAAATCAAATCATATCATATCATATCATTCGACATCATCAATCATGAGTTTACTACGATGGATGGGTGTCAATCACTCAAACAATCCGTTAAATGCTCCTTCTGGATCTAAGCAACAAATCACTCCGGATCCTTGCAAAGATGAATGGTGGGCTACTTCAGGTGAAAGGTATTTTGGTATGGAAAACGTAGGTCTCATCAGTCTGTTCTAATCTACTTTGTTCATTATTCTCTTCTGCTGTGTTGCTGACCCGAATTGCTTTCTCAATCTAATCAGTTTGGAAACACCTGGTCAGCTAGTCAATTCAATCTTCATTTATTCAATTTGATGAACAAGAATCACCACTGACGATTGTATTCATTCAAACCTCTTTTCTTTACAATCAACTGTAAAAAAGTTATGCAAATTCAGTCTTACAAGCACTTTACTTTTGCAAACCATTTCGAGAGTTACTAGAGCTTTCGGCCAATCAACCTCTATATCTTCTTGATAGTGAAGTTGATCAATCATCCGGTACAAGTTCGGGACCTTCTACTCACGCCATCCCTCCTAAACATCCTCGCATTTCAACAGCCACTGTGCGACCGCAGACTTCAGATGTTACTTCTTCACGTCAGCAACCATCGTCTTCTAATCATCCCAAGTCAATCCCTTCTCTCCTCAGCGCAGAAAAACTAGACCACAAGGACGCTAGTCCGCTCATGGGCTCCAGTGGAGCATCGGCTGCAAACGGACATGGTACCAATGGTCGACTTAGATCTGGTAGTGTTCAGATTCTAGGGTCTGTTCGTCATCCAGCAGGAGATCTAACGTCCGACCAAGCCTCGAGGAAAAGTGAACCCACCGATTCCCGCGATTCTCCATCACGCAAATCTTCAACGGGTCTATCGGCTCCTCAAACCTCAGTACCACCTTCAGTACCCCCGATCAAGCTACCAACGAACGTTAAGCGAAACTGGGGGGCAGCTGACCTTGATCAGGGATTCGGTTCTCACCGCAAGCTTGCAGGCGAGCCTGCTTCTTCGAATCCCAACCAACCAAGCACATTGGTTGCTGATCCCAATTCGACAATCTCATCAACACTACGTGACTTATTTCATCATATTTCTCATCAACCTAAACCAATCGGTGCTGTTGCTCCTCAAGCTTTTATCACCACTCTTAAACGTTATAATGAATTATTTAGATCTACAATGCATCAAGATGCGCATGAATTTTTAAACTATCTTGTGAATTCAGTGGCAGAAGACGTAATGGTAGAACAAGAAAGATTGAGAAAAGCCGAAGACAACTCACCTTATTTAGAACCACCTCCAACATCCTTTAAATTTGCTGAACCAGGTCGAACATGGGTTCATCAATTATTTGAAGGTGTTTTAACAAATGAGACTAAATGTCTTACCTGTGAGACAGTCACTCAACGTGATGAAAGTTTCTTGGATCTATCGATTGATATCGAACAGAACACGAGCTTGACGGCTTGTTTACGTCAGTTTAGTGCTAGTGAGATGTTATGTCAGAAGAACAAGTTTTCCTGTGATCAGTGTTGTAGCTTACAGGAAGCTGAAAAAAGGTGGGTTGTTTTCTATGTCCATCAATACTCGCGACTTGTTTTTATATCTCAACCTTTAATCGTACCTAACTGACCTTCACATTAAAATATGACTTTACTTTGACAGAATGAAGATCAAAAAGCTTCCAAACGTTCTTGCACTACATCTGAAGCGGTTCAAATATCAAGAAGAATTACAACGTTACATCAAACTCACCTATCGTGTTGTGTTTCCATTTGAACTTCGACTCTTTAATACCACTGATGATATTCCGAATCCTGATCGTCTGTATGAATTATGGGCAATTGTGGTACATATCGGAACGTCAGTCATCTACATCAATATCATTACTATTTCCGTTCATGACACAATCTCTTTTAACGGTACTTATGTGTTTGTGTCTATCTTAGTGGGCCTCATCATGGTCACTATGTGACCATCTTAAAGTCATCTGGCCGGTGGCTCTTATTTGATGATAATGTGGTCACTTTGATCGAAGAAAACGAAATACAAAAGTATTATGGTGACACACCAGGCGTCGGGAGTGGATATGTTCTGTTCTATCAAGCTGTAGATCTAGATTTGGCTGATGTGATCGGACCACGGCCGGAACTTGACGACACTGCCGAAAGTCTAGTTGACCCGATGGCTGGCTGCACGATGACTGATTTGAGAGAAGAGCCCGAAGAATTGGACCAGTCACCTAATCATTTACTTTCGTCGCTCAAGTCAGATGATCAGGATGTTGGAATAATCTCGCCTGATGACCATCCGACATTTTCTCCCTTGTATTCTCGTCAAAACTCTACTAGGGCTTCGGCTAGTTCGAGCAACTCATTGAAAGCAGATCAACCTTCTTTGACCGGTACATCCTCTACTAATCCTTTCAATCATCCTAATGTTTTGAATGGTAAATTATCAACAAATCCTCGAGATACTTCAAATATACATTCACCTTCAACTTCAGTCCAATACCCACCTCAGACTCAGCAAACGACTGTCTTAGGTTTGACACAAGACCGAACTCAGTTGCCCGACACTGTCTCAAAGGTGTATTCCTTGACCACACCATCTCCCTCTCAAACACCTCAGAAATCGTTTCATCTGCCACTTTCTCATTCTACTATCGTACCTGGACAAGAAGATTCTGATGGTTTAGGGCTACCTCATTCATTCCCTGCTCATACCAACGGAGCCAATTATCCTCGCAAAGACTCTAGTCGGTCTCAAGTAGATCCACCTGTTTCACCTCATTATGAAACTGAACTGATACCGAATTCAAGATTAGGATCTACATCAGGAGTTATGTCAAGTCAAACCACTCGACCTACATCACAAACTGGATCCGATACAACCAAATCAATTCAACACGCAGGATGGTTTAATTCAACTGGATCTAACCATCGACATCAACATGATTCAAATGCATCAGCAAGTGTAACACGAAAGATTTCAGCCAAATTCTTGAGAAGATCAAGTAAAAAACCACAAGGATCAGAAGGAATGATTAGTCCACATTCTAGTCCACTCAGTTCAACTGTTGGAACACAATCTGTACCATTACCACCTTCCGTGAATTTAGCAAGACCGATGACACCTGAAGGAAATTTCAATGAGTTTCATCAACAACAACAACAACAAGTGGGTGATGTTGGTAATAATAGTATTACGTTTGAAAATTATAGAAGACCACCGAGAATCGAATCACTTCAATCAATTAGCACACCTAAACAAATTTCATCACCGAATAGTCGACCGATCTTAGGACATTCACATTCACATCATCATTCTCAAACCAAATCATCACATCATTCACAAATCATTCATCAACATAATCTAATGACCACAAGAGGAGCACAAGCACCACCTGCTACTTCATCCTTGAGTGAAAAACAACAAAGAGAGATTAAGAAGAAAACTGAAAGAGAGAGTAGAAAGACTCAGAAGGAAATCCTTAAAGCTGTTAGAGCTAGAGAAAAAGAACAAGCTATTGATGGGAAGAAAAGAGCTTCGATTGGGGTGACTGGGATTGGGATTGGGGGTGGAAGTGGGATTGGAAGTGGAAGTGGGATTGGAGGTGGTAGTGGGATTGGAGGTGGTAGTGGGATTGGAGGTGGTAGGGTTGGGAGTTCTTCTGGGTCATCGGCTAGAGGAAGTAAGATTTGGAGTAGGGATTAGGGATTAGAAAATAGGTAAAGTATGAAGGAAGGAAGGAAATGGAAAATGGAAATGGGTTTCTTTTGATTTGATTGTTTTTTTTCTTTCAGTGAAAATATATATTTATATTTTGGATGTGAATGTTGTAATAAATTGAAGTTTGAATTGTGAATTTATGAATTTATTATATATATATTGATCTATTGATTGATGGGTTTTTTTATGTGTGTGGGTTTTTTTTGGGAGGAGTTGGTTGGTTTAACTTTGATCATATTGATTATGAGTTTCGTATTGATTATGTTATTCATTGCTTTTTGTCTTTTTGAAAAGGTAAAGAAGAACTAGATTAAGATTTATTTACTTACTTTATATATATATATTGAAAAAGTAGAAGAAAACAAAAAATTCTTTTAAATTTCATTTTTGATATAGAAACTTTTTAGATTTCTTTTTTTTTATTTAGATTTTGATTTTCATTTAAAATTAAAACTAACTTTGGATTAATCAATTCCTGATCTTTTTGGTTTATTATGTAGAGAGAAAAAAATGAATTGATTGGAACTTGGTCATATTCCATTGTTGGGTTTAAGATGTTTAAGCTCTTCAGGACTTTTTCTATTTTGGTTTTGATAATACAAGAGGATTTTATCTGCTAGATACGCAGAGAGAGATAGATTTTGCTAACTTGATGCTCAAGAATGGGGAGCCTGTTGGATATAGGCTCTAGGATTTGTGCTAAGGCCACTATGGGGTTTGAATGGCACTGAAGAAAGACTCACCTTAAAACCAAACCACTTTGGCTTGTGCCTGCTTCTCTTGTTGAATGATTCCCACTTGGATACAGGATCCTGTGCATTGGTTTTCATACAGTTGGATAACCCCATCAGAGTTGATCTTTTTTCTTGATGTTGGACATGTTTTGTTTGGATGGAGATATAGAGGCAGTGTCCAGTTGGTCTACAGGGATCCAGCTTGCTTTGACTGGCCAATTGGGCATATATTACATGTTGAGGTGTGCCCACCCCTGATCTGACCTGAACTGGTTTTCACACCATGCCCACCACACAACACGTAATGGGTCTTTCCCATGCCACATCAGTTTTGCAAAAGTACCTTGACTGAGCCAATAAAATACCCAACAATTCAGATATTTTTAAACAATTGTGGCACATATCTCATACAGGAAACTATCCCTAAGTGGACAGTACCAAGGCTGCCACTATACTATACTATACTATACTGCACTATACTATACTGGACCTGAAATATACTTGGTATAGTATATTTCCAAACATGGTATAGTATAGTGCAGTATAGTATAGTATAATTGAAATATACTGCAGTATATTTACAAAAACTTGTCAAAAACTTGTATGGGTGTCTTCCAGGTATGTTTGGTAAATTCAAATATACTGGGTATATTTTCAGCATAGTATAAGTATAAATATACTAGGATATTCCATATAATGCCTAGTATAGTATACTTGAAATATACTATACCAACAGTATAATATACTGGTATAGTATAGTGGCAGCCTTGACAGTACCTTTCCTCAATACTTTCAATAAGTGATCAGGGCTGAGTCAAGTTCAAGTTAAAGCTCCTTTGTCAAATAAGTAAGATGAGTTGTACCTGAGAGTATTTGGTCCCTATAGAATGTCAATGAGATCAACATTTGAGGTTTGCAGAATTGGAATGAAATGAAAAAGACATAGTACAGTAAGGGTGATACACTGTGCCATTCCAATGAAAGATTAGTGATGCGAAGGTATATGATGTAAGTCGGAATGAGCAGTGAAATAACATAGATGAGAAATGAAGAAAACACTGGAACAAGAGTATTGGAGTGTGTGTAAGCATAAGCAAAGTGTCTGGTGTTATGGAAAAATGTCATGAAAAATTTCTGTAGAATTTTATGTAAGTGAAAAGTTTAATAGGTGGGCCTGGGGATGTTTTTATTTGAAACAGGTATTCTTGTACAGGTAATAACATTAAAGATAGTTGGTATTGGAAGATATTGGACAAAGTCCAACATACCAACTTTAAAAAAATCTTCCTCAAAATGTTAATGTCAATCACCCCTGCTTTCCATGTAAATTATCAAACCTACTGAAATCTTGGGCTCTGTAAAATATGTAATAAAGTCTACAATCTTTTCAGATAAGATGGGTGAGACAATTCTCTGAAAACCAGATTCTCCAATCCAGTTAAATCCTGATGAAAATTCCAGGAAATGTATATCCAAAACCTGGGTCTTGAGTGCTTGTGTGTGTGGGTCTTCATACAGATCCTGATCAAAGAAAGAGAAGTTGCATAGTTTGATTTTCAATTAGAATTTATCAAATGCTACTAATTGTGTGATAAAGTTGAGGCATACTATTACAGGATATGATTGTAAAAAATCAGCCAAGGTGTAGGATAAACAATCAAAGTGTTTGATGTATTGATTTTTGTATATGAAAAGTGAGAATGAAAAAAAGGAAGTATGAGTGAACATCACAAAATTGATATAATGAGTGGAATTGTTCACAAAGACACAATAAGATATGAAATGAAGTATACCAACATGAGGTTCAATAATTGACACTTTTATCACTGGAATGATTTTATACTGTGCTATTTGGTTGGCTAATATCTAGTCAGTCATATTTGGAATGGACAAACAAGGATCAAAGCAATGTTGACTTACCCACAAAATTGGTATTGTTGGTTTTTTTTACAGGCTAAGATTGTTTTTTTGGGATTTGGACCTACCAAGTTCCAACATGACAAGTTTGTTTTTGATTCTTTTCAAAAATTATTTTAGATGTACTGATGTGAGAAGAATATAAAGCTTCTTTGGAGTCAAACTTTGTACTAATTCAACATATTCCATATGGTATTGAACCAGTGTATATATCCAAATAAAATGGCAACATCATGATCCAATTTTTCTCCCAAGTGATACGTGAAAGATAATGAAACTCAAGAGAATTTTGGGATTAAAAAATGTATGTGATTTTGATTGGGTACACAGAGATTTTTGATTGGGAATATGTAGGTGGGTGATATGTATGTGATCAATTTGTTTTTTTCCCTTTGGATCTTTCATGAGTTGATTCCCCCTTTCTTTTTCCTATTGAATTTGATCTTTTTTTTGTTTTTCTTTGAAATCCTTTACAAGTTGATTCTTCTTGATCCATTACTAGTATTGCCTATGTATTTGTACTATACATACATATGATTGAAGTTCTATGAATTCCAAAAGGAACTGTTTAAAATTCCTTTTAGATTTCTGAAAAAAAGAATTCAAACCACTCAAGTTTCAAAGCATTTAACCCATCAACCAAATTATAAGGATGATATGCATATCTTTTGATCAATCATACTTTTCTTTACAAAGGAGTTTCCCGAAAAACAAACAAATTGGATGAAATCCACATCAACAAGATCGTTTGGCGCTTTTGTTTTGGGAGAAGATTTGTTGTAAAGGCTAGAAAGACATAAGTTGACAAACAAATCCAAGCTATGTAATTGTTGTGATTGGTTTATGCAGATGGTATGTGTTTGTTTTTCGAATTGCTTTTGTTTGTTGATATTTGAATCTTCTGAGGGCAGTTTCCTTTAAGCAAGTTCTTTCAAGAAACTACATAGAAATTCTTTGTTTTGTGTTGATAGCCTTTGATGATATGATTTAGATAGTTAATTTCTGAAACTGATTGATTGATTGATTGAAGTGATTGAGGGTGTTTTGAAGAGAAAGAGAAAGAGAAGAGATTAAGTTTAGTATGTAGTGAGATGAGAGATGATTAAGAAAGTTGAAGTAGACTGAGAGAGTTGCCAAGACACTTTGAATTTGAAATTTGAAATTTGAAATTCGAAGCTAAAATTAAAAATTAAACTAAACTAAAGTAAACTAAAGTAAGCTAAGGTAAGCTAAGCTAGGTACTTACATATCTAGTTTGTCAGTGTCAGTATGTAGATCGATGTGTTCTTCTTCTTCTTCTTTACTTTGTACTTTGCTTACTCAATCCATACTATTACTATTCAAGATGGTCAACTTCAATTTATTCTCATCACGAATCAACAAATCAACAACTAATCATGATCAAGATCTATCAAATCTTACTGAACATTCTTCTTCTTCTTCTTCATCATCAAATCACATTCATCAGCAGACTCACAGATTGATTGATAAACTAAGATCATCTTCAACTACTCTCAAATCAAAACCAAGCTTATTACATCATCCTCAAGCTTTGACTTCTCATTCTTCTCTCTTATCACCTTTACCTTTACCTTCACCTTCACGTTCAGCTTCTCAATCTTCTACTTTCTCTAGATTTCGTCAAAGAGCTTCTTCTCTCAAACCATTATCTAATCATCATCATCAACTTAACTCATCTTCTATTTCAAATCAACTTGCTTATCAATTACCTTCTATCGATTTACAAGAAGAATTGGTTTTAGATCATTCAACTCTCAACTCTTCAAATTCAATCACCACTACTACTAATATCAACATGTCATCTCAATCTCAATCTCAACCACCATCACCATCACTATCACTATCACTACTCAAATCTCATTCACCATCTCAGTCTAAATTCAAATCACCATCTCAATCTAAATTCAAATCACCTTCACCATCCCTACTCAAATCTCAACCACAATCACCATCTCAATCTGTCTTCAAATCTACTCCTTCTATTCGATCTAACAATACCATCTTCTCATTTCGATCCAAGTTTAGAGTAGGCAGACGAAAACAAGCAGATGAACAATCTATGAATCATCAAGACTCACAAACTAGCGTATCCACCACACTTCATCCACCTAATCCATCTGTTTCACCTAAACTCAAGCCTTCTGCTTCACTTTATAGTGATCCTAGTTTGATCAAATCAACCGATCTCAATTCATCTCAAAGCTCATCTGTTTCTTCATTTCAACTTAAATCATTTCGAAATGTGAGATCGACAAGTTCACCTGGTGAAGTACCACTACTGGTGGAGTCTATTCCAACGACTCCAAAACGACAACAAACCACCCCAACTCAAAAGACCACATTCACTCAATCATCCAACACTCCAACTCAAAAAACTACCTTCACTCAATCATCAAACACTCCCACTCAATCCATTCGATCTAGTCCTGTACCTTTGATTCAAGCTTCACCTAATCCAAGTTGTACAACTCAAAGTCCTTCATCTTCAAAACGGATCAGTGCAGCAGCTTTTAGAGAAGCTAGACAAGCTCGAACCACTTCACGGTCTTCCTTAAACAGTACTTATTCAGATAAATCATTTCTTCAGTATGATCCTCATCAACATCGATCAAGTTATTGGGCACCTTCTAATTCATCAATTAACCTTTATCAAGGATTCTCGATGCCTTCACTCATGAATTCAGGTAGAGCTATGTCAGATATTGGATTACCTAGTCAATCCAAACCATCATCATCATCATCACGCCATCAATCTCATCAAAGTGGTACGCCTAAACCGAGTCCATCAGATCATTTCAAACGAAACGTTTCACAACCTACACCTAATTCTGGAAGATTATCATACTATCATAATTCAAAAGCTTTTGAAACCGAAACCGAAACGGATATTTTAATTCCACCACGTCCAGCTTTCTATGGATCATCATCATCATCATCTACTTCAAGATCTTCTCACGATCAATCTAGTTCTACAACTCCATTTTATAAAACTCAATCGACTTCACAAAGATCATTGGTGGGCAATTCGAGTCAAAGATCTTTACCGATTCATACTTCTAGACCTATTTCTAGTATGATGATCAAACCTACTAGTAATAAGAAACTTAAAGATTTAACACCACTTGATAAATGGCATTCAGATTCAGAATCGGATTCAGAAAATCCCCATCCCCCTCAACTATCTAAAGATGATCCTGAAGAAGAAGATGATGAAGTTCCATTATCTAAATTAAAAAAGAAAAGTTTTTCTTCTTTAAAGGTTTCTTGTAATGCTAAACCTTTTGGTTCTTTTATTCCTCCGATTTCGATTACTCCTACTTCTGGTTCTGGTTCTTTACCTTTGGTTCATCCTCCTCAACAACAATCACAGCAACAGCAATCACAGCAGCAGCAGCAACAGCAACAGCAACAGCAGCAACAGTACAGAGGCATCAGTCCGGCTTCGTCTTCTTCTGGTGGATCTGCTGGTCCGATCACTCCTTTGGATTCATCACTTGCTATTAATTTAATTAGAAAAGGTAGGCTTGCTTTTCAAACTTTTCTTTTTTTTTCGATTTTTAAACTTTTTCTTTTTTCTCGATTTTTAAACTTTCTTTCTTTTTTTTTTGATTTTTAAACTTTCTTTCTTTTCACAATTTTGATTTTAATTTTTTTTTACAATTTTGATTTTGATTTTAACTGATTGGATCGTATTTTTTTTTGGTTTAGATGATGAATTCGGATTAGAACATGCACCAAATGGAGTAGATCAAGTTTTGTATAATGGATTAAGTGAATCTGATAAATATCAATTACATCAACGTAGTCAGATGATGATTCAAGTTGAGTGATTCTCTTCTCTTTCTTAAACCTCAAATTAAAGTTGAATTTCTCATTGATTTTTTGATTGATTTTTGATTTTTGATTGATTTTTTCTTTGGGGGGGGTTGGGTTTTATTAGATGATTGCAGCTCAAGCTCAGATGCATGCGATTTCTTTGTCTAATCATCAAACCTTTCATCAACTTACTTCTAATGAGATCGAGTTGGGATTCAATGGAATGGGATTCAATGGTAATGGGTTTAATGGAATGGGCAACGGAATGGGAATGAGCAATGGGATGGGCTTTAATGGGATGGGTAATGGGAATGGAAAGTTGGGGTACGGTAGAGGTAGTCAGTCTTTGATTGGAATTAATGAAGAGTTGGGTAAGAAGAGGATTAGGAAGGTTTCAGGTGCTGCTAGTGGGATTGGAATTGGTACTGTTAGTGGTACTGGCAGTGGAAGTGGGAGTGGGATTGGGAGCGGGAGCGGGAAGGGCAAGGGAAATCATTCGAGTGATACGATTACTAAGTTGAAACCTTGATGGATTTTTTGGTTGGAGGGGTTCAGGTTGAGGTTGGAGGCTGGAGGGGATTTGTATTCCAACAAAATAGTCTTGGGGTGATTTTTATCTGATTATGATTATTATTTTGATTTATTAGTATTAGTATTAGTATTATTTGTTTTATTGATTTATTTTGATTGATTGCAAAACTTTATGAACTTTTTGATTTTTTTTCTTCGTTTTTGAGTTTTGAGTTTTGATTGATTGATTTTTTTGGATATTTGTGATTTTGATATTTTTGATTTCTGATATTTTTATGTTCTGTTCTTTATGATTTTGATTTGTGATTTTGAATGAACTTGGTTAAGATTTCTTTAATATGTTTTTTTTTTGATTTTTTGATTTTCTCATCAATCTTTACATTTGTTTTAATTCTTTTTAATTCTTTTTATACTTATACTTATCAAAAACTCCACATCATTATCATTATCATTATGATTTTTTTTTTCTCTCTTAATTTTCTCTCTTAATTTTCTCTTTTAATTTATCTTACTTTTCTCTTAATTTTTTGATTTCTCTTTTGATTTTCTTTTGATTTGTTTCAATTTAATTTTTAAACCAACTTGTTTTTCTTTTTTACTAAAAGATATTTCTTTCTTTTTTTGATGCGATATGATTTGAGAATGTAATTTATAGATAATACAATTATAATTATATTATGGAAAAAACAAAGTAAAACAAAACAAAGAAGGAAAAAGAAGAAGAAGAAGAAGAAAAAGAATGCTTTTTGATTGAAAGAGAAAACTCATTTTTTTTGATTAAAAGAAAATGTGGGTTTCAACTTGGTTAACACAGGTGTTGTAGAACTTATAACCCAACAAGGGTTATAGTAATACAGAGCCTGAAGAGTACAATCTGAAAGTAATGACTACAACAGAAAAGGTCCAAGGACTGACCTCCTAAACCAAGACAATCAGAAATGAAATTAAGTACTGATAAAGCACCAGAGAAAAGTATCTTTAAAAGTCCAAATTAAACACACATAGATTTTTCACTCAAAAAGCATTATTTGATATCCCTCAATCCTGGTATAGTTTTATTCTAATCTGATACATAAGAAGTGATGTGTTTTTGATCTTATTCACTTCTTTGATTATAACACTTAAAGTAAATTTCTCTTTATGATTGTAGTTATAAAGGTGTATTTAAGTGATCAGCTACTGTTTATATTGATAAGTGTGTAGATGGTGTGGAAAAAGGAAACAACAATCTCAAAAATCATTTATAAGTACACCACGGGGCAATTGGGCTCGCCGTTTGACGTTCAGAAAAGACCGCCAAAAGCCCAGATTCGCTTGGTGGTGGCCGGCTGCCAAAAGCTGGTCAGTGGAAAGGCGGTCTTTCAGCTGAGCTTCGCTGGCGGCCGGCATCTGGGCAAACGGCAATCATTGACCTATCAAGCGGCCGGCTTTGAGCTTGTCCAGATTGCTCAAGCCAGCTCTTGATAGGTCGATCGACCAGCAGATGGCTGGTCAATTCAAGGTCTCTAGCCGGTCTTTGTGGATCACCGGTCAGGGTCTGATAGCCCATATTTGCTCCCTGGTAGCTTGCTTTTGGATTTGATTTAATCGATTAAAATTGTGATTTCAATACAATCGTAATATTACATATTGTAATGCTCATAGAATACAAAAAGATAAGAAAATGTTTTTTTAAAAAGTACATATTTAGATTGATAATCAGTCAGTTTTAAGTTTTTTAAATCTTTGATGGTGCTTTTGCCATTGAATAGTTGCTTATCTTCATAAATGATCAGTTTGTGGAACCTGGTAGATCAATGGACAATAGGTGCCTTCAAACTAGGGAAAAGTTGAAAAGTTGAACAGAAAAATTGGGAACCGTGTAATTATAATACAAGCGATACAATGCTGTAGTGCAATCACAAAGTTAGAC